TTAACCACAGCCTAGGGGTCGGACATGTGGGGGGCAATCAGATCCTCCCCTTTGGGGAGCAGAATGGCCCCAGACATGAGGTCCATTGCACCAATAGTTGCGAGTGACAAAGAGTGAACATGTCGAAATCGGTGTGTGTGATAGGTGGGAGGTGGTTGGCAAGCGATTGAGCATGATTTTGGGTTGTGAGTCCTGGAGCAGAGTTGCACAAGCTTCTATGCCCTCGCTCCCTCCCCCCAATGGGTGGAAGAGTAAGGACCATTGGTCTCAATCGACCTACCTAGGCAAATTGAAGTGAATAGCAATGGTTCAACCATCAACCAAATTGGGGCCATGGGAAGAGGTAGGCCCTATGGGTCCACAATGCACTTATCACATAATACGTGATTCTTACAGTCGATCAAGAGCGAGGGATTCAATTTCGGGAAACTCAGTGGTGGATTTTGTCTAGCACATAGTTAGAGAAATCTATGGATGGGAAGTCAAGGAGAAGCTGGGCAAGTTCAGAATAACCACGATTTTTGCAGTGCAATCTAATGCGACCTCAATTTGTTGGAGCAAATCTGGTGACTAAGGGCCCATGACAAATCATGCAATAGTTTTTGTTTGCCCCTCAGTTCTGTCCATTGTTATGCTTGAGGAACATTGACAGACTGGAAGGGGATGTGAAGGTGGTACTTCTAGGTGGAGTGGGTGGGTGGGGGGCGGGGGGGTGGGGGGGGGTACAAAGAGTGCATTGCCAAATTCCCTAAAGCTCGAAGCCCATCATCGGTGGTGAGACCAGGCTGAAGGTAGGCCGCTTGTTAAGCATTCTTGGAATTCTGGATGGAGACTTGAAAGTGTGGGATGCAAGCCATGGCGAGGAGCAGGATTCGCAGCAGCCATCGGGGTCTGAACCACACGAGTGCCAAAGCCAACCCATCGCATGTGCCTGCACACCAGACTTTTAGTCAGCCCTGAGCAGTTTCCTTTGTGCTCTTGAATCCCCTCAACCCGCCTTCCACTGCCTACCACCTTGCAACAGATTCAAGTGGCTGTGCATTCGAAAGATTCGGCACCTGTGCCTTTACCACAGATGCCCCACCTCTCACAGGCTTCTTGCTGATGTACACAACAGTGCCCTGAAGCATTTCCTACCGCTTTCAAGACCTAGTTCACATTTCTGCACCACTGTGCCAATCACACTGTGCGGTGGACCAGGACAAGTGGTGTCATGCCTCATCATGTCGTGACAGGTCATGTCATGTCATGTCCTGACACTGCCCATCCTATGCTGATAATTATTGGAAAAGTGAGTGCCGTTTATGATGTCAACGCCTGCAAGACGCCAGGGCTTTGTATTGACCTGGTCAAACAAGTGCACTCAATGCAATTCAGCCCAGTTGCCCCAAAGCTCATAGGCATTCGGCGAAGAACAACTCCACGATTTCCTTCACACAATCGAAGCAAGCCCCTGCGCCCTTGCGCGCAATAGCTCTCGACGCCCGCGACTCAACCCAGGCCAATCCTGTTACCCTCCACGGTCATCCAACAGGATACCGACGTCCCAGCATCGACGCACGCTGCGGCTCTATGGCCCAGGACATCGTCAGATATTAGCTCCGCTGCGATACCTTCGATCGCGACAGTGGCCTGGCGAGTTGCTGAGTTGAATTGTTGAAGTTGAAGTTGAGCTGTTGAAATTGCTGATGCAGCTGGGGCGTGTCTCGGCCCATCCCCCAAAACTGACAAGGGGTCTTACGCCCTCCGTCCTGCTGGGCCTGGCCTGCTGGGTTCCCAGACAAGTGATGCTTGAGCTGTTCGGCAGCCCACAGTGTGCCCGACATAGCCTCGTTGCTCCCGGGTCTGAATGCGCTCAGTGCACGGATGCAACATCTCGATCCCCAAGAAACTTACCGGCGGTGGCGGGTGGCTATCTCCCGAGACGGCCAGTGAAAGATCACCCGATACCACGCAAGAAAGGTTGAAGAGTATGGCCCTCAATCGACGTGGGAGGTGTCGCCACGGAGTCGCGGGTCGCGCACGACCTGCCCGCTTGGGGGGGGGGCGTTTTGGCGGGCGCCAATTTCCGCTCGCCCCTTTTGATGTGCGCTTGGTGCAATGATGGTGACATTGGATCTTGATGAACAGATAATGGACCGCTGTGCACGACCGAAATAGGAAGCTGACAGGTACCTGCTTGCCTTGTCGTGTAACTCTTCGTGATAACAGCGACTGAACGACCGATCAATCGTGAAGCGATGATCCATCCGGTACATCGTCGTTGGGAACCTCCGCTGGTGTCTCAAACCTTGTGGGATCTGTATTTACAGTTGCAACACGTTCCTTTCCTTCAACAAATACTTGGCACTGGTTTTCTGGGGCAACTAGAGCAGCCGAGGACTGGTCCATTACCTGGATCATTTCTTGTGCCCATGCTGTATTTAAGGATGCATGAAGCCATTCCCTTGGTTTTGCATAGTACATCATGATTGTGAATGACAAATTGATTCCAGAGTGTGCAGGATTGCACTTGTGCGCGATTGTGTGAAAGCGTGTGATTTCCGTGTTCTGTATTCAGCGCTGAGGCTGAAGCTCATGAGCGAGGCTGGGAGTGGAAACCGAACAAAATAAAATGTGCGGACGGGAATTTTATCGACGAATAATTGCCATTATAATTAAAATAATTTAATATTATTATGATTTTGCCATTATAATATTGCCATTTGGCGGCACTCGCAATCGCAATGCCTAGGCTTCGTTGTGTGCGAGTCACCGACCTGACAAACTGCCTATGGCAATGTGCAATATGCTTGGCCCTGGGCAAAGAAGACAGCACCCTATTGAAATTGCCCTCAAAGCCACTAGCCCGCCGAGCATCCGGAAGAAGGCGTTGGAACTATTCTTGGAGGGCGTGCAAACATAAATTCCGCATTGCTTGATCACATTCGCGGCCACCGTCTATGGCTGCATGGCTTTCCAAATCACGACACGCAACTACATGTCCCGACTTAGGATCGCAGCATCAATAGCATCCGCTTTCGTCCGTGCTGCGTCGAACCAGACTTGTGCGAGCTCCACTGAAACAGCCAGACCCCTTCGAAGCACAACGCATCAAATATGCCAACACTGAATCCCATGCCGCGCATCCCACCACCGGTGAGCAGATCCCACTTGAAAGCCGACTGCTTGAAAACACCAGGTTCACAAACGACTGTCTCAGCCCTCCTTTCCCAGTCTCTCCTCTAACAACCACCTCTTGAGCTTGAGCCTCAAGTCCCCCGCAGTGATCCGATATTTAGGCCACCGCCTGCCGCCACCAAACTTCCACGCGCAGCTGCAAAGGCCTTGACAATCAAAGATCTACCGCCACTTCATCCCAAAAGACAACAAATCCACTGCCGTCAACGCCCAAGGTAACGCCGAAAACTCCACTTGGCTGCACACTTTTCGGTCCCTTTGGCCTGCGCTTGGCGCTCTAGGCCGCATAGGTGCCCGGCCCGGGCACGTCGCTGATGTTCTTCTTCAGGCGGATCTGCGTGCCGAAGCTCCAGGAGGAGGAGGTTTTGTTCACGGCCAGCGGCTGGCGCCCCACGCAGGAGCGCTGCGCCGCGGACGTGGGTCCCGGGGACACCAGGCCGTAGCTGCACTTTTCATGGTCCTTGGATATGAAAACCTTCTTGCAGCTATCCCGCGTGGAGGAACCGAACTGAGGGGCCGGCAGGGTGGCCTTCCTCGACAGGACCTGCAGCGCTGGTGATGAGTCATCACAGACCTGCTCCGGAGATTCGCACGTAGTAGAAAGGCTGGGTACAAATGCAGGAGGAGTGCCATTCACATTGCACTCCTTAATATGGCTGAAATGCTAAAAGCATGATTAGCGGCAATGTAGGCAATGTAAAAGGCCACAACATCCGCATTCTGATCCCTGGAGGTGACATCGTTTATCTATTCTGCGTTTCAATCTTGATTTCGACTGAGTGCTGCATCATTCAATTGAAAATACATGAAGGGTTGAATGCCTTGACTGTTTTATCAAACACATGCATAGTTAAATGCCGTGGCAGTATTTCAAAAGTCAAATAAATGTCTGTGAGAAAGGCTGAATTGGAATCAGCGACAATTGCCATCAGTATCACGATGTGCAGGATCATTACGGATCCCAGCCGGCATGGCTTTAGGGTTGAAAAATGCACACCGCGGCCTGCAAGACGGAAATAGAAAAGAATGTCTGTGCATGTTTTAAAGTGTTTATTGCTGTGTATACTGGTGCCCATCCTTAAGGTGTACTGTTGGTGCAGGCCCCGATGTCAGCTTTGACATTCATCTCCCTTCCCTGGAATTCCAGAATGCAGTGCACAAGTCTTAGCAACCTAAAATTACTGTGCGAGCCGTCTAATCCCCTAAGGATGACGTCACTCAATCTGGAAGTGCTGCTAACATAGCATAATGCATGTCACAATTCCGATATGATATCCGTGAAATTGGACCGCGGTGGCGCAAAATGTGGCGAATGATGTTTGAGTGACTGCGCATCGCGCGGGTATGCTGGATCCTTGGATATATGGGGAGACTTATACACCAACAAGGAAGCTGCCAATGAACGCCTCAAACAACTTGGAAATTTGTACATGCTACAATGCATTAACATCCTGACTTAAAGCTGTCGCCTTAGATCAGGATATTCGACGGACAGGCGACGTCCTCGACGCCAACATATCATCAATTGAGCATATTCTGAGTATGACTCCGGTTTACGGAAAGTGCCCATATTCCACTGGTCTGCATGTCCACGCCGGGGAGAGTCCGGCGACAACCTTCACTGGTAGAAATCATGACTTTGCGATGCCAGCTGCGATGCTATTTTGACACAAATTGATGACGTCACAGTGAGTGCCATGGCATACAAGAAGCTGCGGCGGCGTCAATTTGTGTCCAATTGCTTCGCAGTTGGCATCGCAAACAGGCTGCTTTCTACTGGTGCGTGCTCCACCCCAACTCGCCTGTTTCCCACAGGCCACCGTGTTCTCGTACTGCCCCGCCCCCGGAATGCCCTTGGCGCGCTGGATGAAGTCGTAGTTGAAGCGGCCCTCCATGCCCACCCTCCAAGATGGGGAAGACAGTCGGTTGGAGGTGGACTGCCTCCCGAGGCCGGGTGGGATGTTGTAGACGCTGGGGCCTGGGGAGTCGTTGCCGAAGTTCACCTTCTCATGGTCGGTGGAAATGAAGACCTGAGGAGGAGGTGGTATCGCGGGTTGGTGCTGTGCGCTTGTGTGAGGGTTGCTTGAATGAATACAGGCCAGCTCTTGTTCATGTACCCTATGAGCTTGATTGAGTACGGTTGGTTGCTTGATCTTCGGGTTCACTAGCTAGTGAATTGTCACTAGGGTTTGGTCGAAAAGTTGTTTATACCAAGGCGGAGATGAATTCGGGAAAGGAGGCCATGTTTAGGTGTTTAAGTGGTGTCAAGAGTGGCGGCGTGTCCAAATCAAACCAAGGCTTGACCCCCACTGAACGAGAAGGTATGTCTTGCTGAGGTGCTTTGAGAAGGACATCGCGACATGAAGCCGATGAAACAGTACAAAACAGGTATCTCACAAGAATGCTGAATACATGGATTCATGAAAAAGTCATGAAACTCTAGAGCGAACTGTGTTTCAATACTGGTCATGAACCACATACCACATTTTGGCATCTAGCTTCACAACTATTACTACCTTTGTCTGCATCAATATTTTGTTATTAGAACTTACTCCTGCACATGTAGCATCGGGGAGTGCTAAGCAATCGGTATCATTCGTTGGTCGACTGTGGCTACACATGCTGCAATAACTATGCTAAGATGGCTCCGGCGGTATCGAGGTGGCGGAGATTTGCGAGCCATGGTGCAATGCGCTGCGTAGCAACGTCGCTTTATGCAGAATTTACAGCAATTCTGAGCAATCTCGCGCGGCCATGTTTGGACTGAATCTGCAAAGACCACACATTTCTATAGGAAGAATTTCGATTTCGATCTATCTGCTTTCCTCGGAAAGCTCTTACTGCATTCTTCTCCCGCTGCTCTGCCAAAATCTTGCGACTTTCCAATGCAAGATTCTTCCGCCGATTTTACCAGCACCCAGTGGCTTTTCAAGTGTCACTGTTATCATTGCAGAATGATCGATTGACAGTAATTCCGCTGGAAGTTGCAGCGCAAAAAAAACATTGCATCAGCAACACTCACAAAACCGTTCCCCAGTGTTGCAGTTCGCGGCCTTATGCAGCCACCCACCTTGGCGATGTCATCGCGGCTCGATGTTCCAAAGGCCGTCCGCGGCGCCGTGTCTCTCGTGGAGTCCACCTGACGCCCCACCCCCGACGGGTTTTTGTACGCCCCAGCCCCGGGCGTCGAGTTCTTGCTGGCCAGGCCCGACCTCATTGAGGTTCCGAACCGAAATGTTGGGGCGGAGGTCTTGGAAGAGACGTGCTGCTTGCCCAGCGCGGATGGCACCTGGCATGTTCGAGTTTCCGGGGTTGGATCTGCCGCACGTGACTTGTCGAGAGGGCCCAGAGACAGGGTGTGAGGGGCAACGGGCGCCCGACAGTGCCGACAACATAGTTGCTTTCTTCCAGCTATCAAGCAGCTGGAATAGCTGCCGTATGCTCCCGCCTCAAAGGAATCAAACAACCAAACTACCAGCGAAAGCAGCTTTAGTAAACAAATTGACGAAAAGGAATGCGTGCAGAAATTCATGAGCTCAAAATCAAAAAGTGGATAAGGAGGAAAACGCACAGAGATAAACATGCAGACCAGTTTCTGTCGAAAAGGGCGTTGAGAAAATTACCTGGTAAATCGCTCCTTGGGAGTTGTTGCCACCTGCAGACCGGCAGTGAGCCCGGTCGTGCTCTGGGGACACATACCTGTGAAGGTCAGGCAACAGCTTAAATTCGAGAACCCCTTTTCTGATGCACCACACTTTGTACACGCACACCATGCATTGGCTTCAGCGATGCGGCACTGGATAGACCGAGTCGATTTGAGAAACTTTGCACGTCAGATGTGGGGGCGTTCGTTGGCTCCTGACTTCGCCCCAGAAAGCGGGTTCAACGGAGGGGGGCGGCTGTCACCGATTGGATGCTTGCCGGCATGCTAGCGTGATTGGATACCGGGGGCGGCGGCGTCGCCGTGCCACTGCCCGTGACAGAAGAGGCGTTGGCGCCGGGACGACACTGCTGTGCCTGAGATTTCCTTCTCCACCACGCGCTAGTAGAAACACCAGTGTTGCGATGCTATTTCGACACTCATTGGCACCACAACAGTGTCTGCGATGGCATGAAAGTAGAGTGGATGGGTTTTTCGTACGGCCGTACGGCGGAGCGTGAACGCTGGCGCTACACGTCAAATATCCGCCAGGGGCAGCGATGTCTCGAGACAAGGGCAACGTCCCAACACCAGCCTGCTAAGAAGCCCTTCCCAGCCCGTGGCGCACCCACAGCAAGAGCGAGCCCCCGATTCTCAACTTCGGCCGGCGCTGCCCGGCAGTGCGCTCTGCGCTTTCTGAGGCTGCCGGCGGCCCGCGTCTTCGAGCGGAGATCTCTGTCCGTGCCTGGACGCCCCCGCCCCCGACGAAGTCGAACAGCAACAGCAAACCGCGGTACACGATATGGCTCACATACGCCACCGCGCGTCCCCCTTGCTTTGCCCGTCTCCATGCGGGCTGCATGGCCAGGGATGAGCCCCTTGCTAGGTCGGATACCCCCCCCAGGAATGGTCGGCGCGAACAAAGCGCGGACACAGATGTCGGGCACCAGCGTGATCCGCTCGAGGCGAGGGACAGCGGCGCGCCCGCCCACTCACGTCTTGCTGTTGTCCCTGTGCGCGCTGCCGAAGCCGTAGTTGGGGGCCGTGCGAGTCCGGCTGACGGGCTGCACACCGAAGCCGCTGCGCAGCCGGCCGGTGCCCTTCCCGAAGAACAAGTCGTCCCCCCTCCTCGCCGACGCAGCCATCTCGGAATCCGAGTCCAGCAATCGGTCCCCAAAGCAGGAACGGAGATCTTCCCAAGAGCCGGCGGGAAAGCGCGGCGCCCGCGGCTTGCAGCGCCGAGGGCCGATTCGCCAATCCCGCGGCCAATTGATCGACCTCCGAGGCGCTGCTCGGTTGAAGGATCCTGGGATTCCCAACCCTGCCTGAGCCCTTCGAATCGATGAAAGCCAGTCTCTTCGAAATTGGGCGGCTTGGGCCAGGCGCCCTGGGGCGGCGATCGGCGATGGTGGGGGGAGGTTTGGCTGCCGCGGGCAAGGGGAAGGGGTGGGGGGCACTGGGCGGAGGACCAAGGAAGTTGACGTAACGGACGGCTATGTTGGCGGGGAAGGGGGTCTGGCGCGGGCCCCGAGGCGCGCTGTCCAAGAAGGGAAGGGGGTGGGGCGGGGTGGGGTCGAGCAGGGCTGGTGTCGGTGCTTCCTAAGCACTGGGCCGTCCAGTACATAAGAAACCTCAGCGCGGGGGCCCTGAGCGCTGTATGATTGTGCTTGTTGAGTCCTGGACCGTCCAGTACTTAAGAAGCATCAGCACGAGGGCCTAGAGGACTGTCCGACGGTGCCAGTTCAGTGCTGGACCGTCCAGCACTTAAGAAGCATCACCACAGGAACGCTAAGCACAGTTCGACGGTGCTCGTTGAGTACTGGACCGTCCACTACTTGAGAAGCGTCACAACGGGAAAGCTGTAAAACACTGTCCGACGGTGTTTGGCAACTTTGCTGCAAACGAAACTGTGTATGATCGACTCCAGTGGGTTTGTGGCTTCGCTACAACGGCAAGTTCAAGCTACCCTCAGAAGCCTCAGGACAGCATAATTGAGGCCCTCAACCAACCTTACGCTCTGGCACCGTTTGGCGTCACTGCCTTACGATTTTTTTTTTCAGGATTAGGGTATGGGTATCTTACACCAGGGCGAAGGGTTTCCTAACGAAATGCATGAACTTGTATGAAAACATTTCTCATTGCCTGGAAACATGTTATCGCTGTGTTAGCGGTTGTGGACCCAAATGATAGTAAATAAATAACCGAATGGGTCGAGTTGTGTTAGAATTGCGCACTCTTGAAGGAAAGGCCGTTGATGCGATTCAAACGGCTCCCTTTGGAGTGCACACGGGAAGCGCGAATCCACGATCGCCGATGCTTCAACGGGCTGGCACACGGCCAGACGCAAGGCCACGCCACACGCAAAACGCCCAGGGCTTACATATGTGGTCACCCTTCTCACAGCAAAGAGCCTCGCCGACGGTGGCAACGACCCCCGCAACCGAACCGTTCGAATTTTCTTGCACCCACAGAACTTTCCTTTTCATGTGGCAAGGATCATCATCCATCATCAACCAGCCAGAATGCCTTGTAAACTATATTCTCGAAGTGCATACAAGTCGCACACCATTACGCATAAGTGATCCACCCAGTGAAATGGTGGTCATTATGCGGTGTTGCGAACAGCACGAAATTTCCCAGAAGTTACATTTAAAGTAGTACATTTAATGTAGATTACATTTAATGGCTATTAGGTCCTTGGCGAACCTTGCGAGCAGCCTTGGTATTTGTGCCGTGAACACAAATCGTACCCATTTTTGTATGCGTAAAATAAGTTTTCACGTTTTACTCATAAAGAGGGCGCAAAAATACGTAAATGGAACTTAAGTACAGCCCCTGTAAATGAGGACAATATATAGAGATTGGGGGAGTCCGGGAAGTGGCATCAGTCGTGCTGGAATGGGTAGAAGGCGAACTTCTTTCCATGCCGTCGTTGCCCGTTGCCGAGGGGGAGGCAGGCACTGTGTTGTGGGTGTTGGAGATGGTGGAGGACTGGTCATTGTACGCGCCTTTCGTCGTGTAAACTGGTTGTGCCAACGAGCCGAAAACCATAAAAATAGCCATAAAAATAGCCATAAAAATAGCCATAAAAATAGCACTTTTTGCAAATTCGCATTTTGGGCATAAAAATGTAAACACAAAACCCTGCGTGCGCGATACACCGCACTGCGAGTACAGGCAAAACAACTATTTGCGTTTATAACCAATTAATTGCATGCGCAAAAAGTCTAAGCGTCCAGGTCACGCTTGCCCTGCATGACGACGTGAGAGTCTCCTCAGGCATTCAAATAAGGTTGTATGCGAACAATCGTCCCATTTGCAACTGGAACCAATATTCCAATCAAAACTGGTATCACTTCAACACAATTTGCCTATCACTTCCATATCAATTCCCTATTTACACATACAAGCGTACTTGTATGGACCTTTGCAGAATGTTGCAGGGCAACTGGCGGGCCCGCTAGTAAGCAAGCATGCCAATTCGTGTACCCCGGAAATTTGAGTACTTGTATAGTATACAAGCAGGGCTTGGGGCAGCCAGAATTAACTAGAGACCTGTGAGATAGGAACGCTCCTATCTTACAAACCACGCGGTGGCGTCGTCAGCTCCCTTGGTGTAACACAGGTTTCATCATGGAATTTTAGCAGGAAGGTGCACTCCCACCAGCAAAATAGCTAGCTGCATTCATCTACAGAATTTCTGGATTGATTGTTTGCAATGAGCTATAATGTTTCTTGATTGAGTGAACTCTGTCCCATAGTTCCGACCATCATTTGTACCGTGTCTTCCATTCGGCTGAATGCTTGCAATGACGACCCTTGGCTGAAACACAGGTTGTTTCAACTTTTGCTTCGTCTGAGTTCAGAGTACGCCACCACTACAAAGTACACAACACCACAGCGCCCAGAATCACCATGGAGTACACAATCACTACAGAATACATACACAATCACTACAGTGTGCACAGTCACTATAGTACACACAATCACATGGACCGCTTCTAGCGAGAAGACAACACCACAAATCGGATGCCCCCCAGTCGTCACACAAATATCCAATACCCTTCAATCCCGGACATGAAGGCCATGAAAGTCATTTTCGGGCTCAGGGATTTCATGTTTCCTTTTAGGTTTTAGGTCCCTCGTACCCTTCACGATCCCTTCACGCCCTTCATGGCCTTCATGTTCTGAAATAGTATGTACCAGAGGATAGGTATAGGCAGGCTTGCCATCTATGTTGTAAATGCATTTTGTATTTACGTGGTATACGCGTTTCGCGTAAAAATACATTAGTACACGCTATATTCACGCCGTCAATCATAAGCCTACGTATATTCTTATATGCCGTTATATGGGTAAATTCCCATACATCGGTATATTCCCACACATCATTATATTCTGATATATCGGTATATCGGACTGCCCGAGTCGTCAGCAACGGCGCGGCGTCCAAAACGCATGGCCGTCCGCCCGAAGCCCGACCGGCGCCCCACCCCTCCTCCCAGCTCGCTTGGCCTCCAGCCAGAGCGCCCGCCCACCCCAGGTCATGAAACGGCGTCGCAGCCAATCTGAGGGCCCCTTGGCCGATGGCGCATCCCCCCCCGCTCCCTCTGGAGCCCAATCGGCGTGGATCGCATCTCTGGGCGTGAACGAGCAGATCCCAGCGGTCGACCTCAGGCCAGCCTGGGCGGTCTCGATCCATCCCTGCGCCACGCTCAGCCTGAGGAAATTGAACGAGAAGGCGGAGAAGCGGGGCAACTTGGGCGGGCGCAGGATCTGCGATCCGATCGAAGCCTTCACGAGCACACACGTGCTGAGCCTGGGGGAGGTTTTGAGATTGGGCCTGGCGGCAAAGGCGAGGGCACAGGCGACGAAGGCAGGGGCGGATGCGGCAGGGGAGGACCAAGCGGCGAAAGCGGCCTTGGAATTGATTGCGCCGTTGATCGAAGCCACGAGCGGGACGTTTGAGTTTCAGGTGCCCAGGCACCTGAATGCCCTGCCGGAGGAGGGGGGGGAGCAGGGGCAGAGGGTGATCTACTACGGCGTGGAGGGCGGCCGGGAGCGAGGGCTGAGGGACCTGAAGCGGGTGCTGGTGGACCTGGCGGCGCGGGGGTGCCTGATGGACAAGAACTCCGTGCACACGGCGCTGGAGGTGAGGGCGGGTGGCGGTTCAAGAAGTCTGCAGCAAGTGCCTCGACAAAAGCACCTGTAAAGTACATCGAAAGTGCTTGGACTTGAAGTATGTACTGTATTCTCTTGTCGTGCAACCTATCAGTAAGGCGGGGTGGGGTGGGGGGCGCCCAAGGGGGGAGGTTGTGGGATTGTTTGTTGCACCAAAATAAACTGGACGCACAAGGGGCACCCCCTCCAACGCAAAGGTGTGCGGGGACTTTTACCTACGCTGTGAGAAGATGACGTGGAGTCTGCTGGTGCGAAGCGACGAACACGCATCGCAAGGAGCCCATGGCGGACACCAGCAGAAAAAACTGCCTGTTTGCAGTGACGACTGCGATGCCATTTGACACAAATTGATGCCACCACATCCACTTTTACGCCATCGCAACCACCGCGATGGCAACATTTTGTGTCGAAATGGCATCGCAGCTGTCATCGCAAACAGGCCGTTTTCTACCAGTGGGACCCGTGGCCGGACGCATTGGCGTTGGACGCTTTGGGCGCGCACGGTGTTTGAGATGGCTTCCAGGCACAGGGGAACACTGACGGCGCTGTTCGCTTGCACCTGCGCAGCGCGCCCGCCATTCCTCTTCCCCTTGGCCTCAGCAGGGCTTACCCTCGCGAGCGCGATCTACCCCTTCAGTAATCACCCGTGCGCGTATGTCATACAGGACATGCCCTGTAGAACACTGGCCGGAAACAGGAAAATGAGCCTCTGACCGACAATGTCGACCTCCGCCGCGCTGGAACGTCTTGGTTCCCAGGAAGTCCCTGCTCAAGGGAAATGCAGGGAGTGTGTGGGGGGGAGGGGGGGCTCTCCATGAATGAAGGGGTATTGGGGCCAGTGGCTGGCACAGCGGGGGATGCTGGCAGCCTGTCAGCAACACATAGGTGGCTGATCGACACCTCGACTCGCTGGGCAGATAGGGGGGGCAGAGATTTTACTAAACTGCTGTTGGGACGGTGTGGCTTTGTGGCCAATCGGCACCATGCGGCAAGCAATCGGGCGCTCAATCAGGTCCTCAGTCTGGTGCGCAACGCCAAGAGCGAACAGACGTAACAAATAAGCTCTGGGTGGCGGGTGAAGGCCACAAGCCTTTGCATTGATTGCTGGTGCGCTCACTCCGACAGTGCTATATTTGTTTGCTGTTTGTTCCTCACGTGAATGCATCGACACAACGTCACGGCATCGACCAATGCAGTGTACGAATCCAGTGGAGCACGAGGGGCACGTCCATGCCCACCTATGCCGCCCAAAGCGCGCCTCCAACTGAGGGCTCCGCGTTCGTTTGCAGTACCCAGGTGGCACACCCGAGCAGGTGCTCGAGGGCGAGGGCAAGCAGCAGGGCGTCACCCACGGCGGGCGCATCGCCCTGGCGTGGGACGCCTCCCTGGACGCCGCCGTGGCGCTTTCAGAATCGGGCCAGCCGATCACCAATCCAAATCTCGACCCCCTGAGCGTGCTCTGGTACGATCAACCCGCGGGGTACGACAGGCCAACCAGCGACGACTCCAACTACTGGGCGGCGCTTTCCGTTTTCGACCCGTCGTTGATCGACTGGGGGTGCGGGGTGGGGCCGGACACCGCTACTCGCAGAGCGTGGGCGGAGAACACGGAGATCTGGTCTGCCCTGGATATACTCACGGTGCCGTTTGCCAGCGACCACCCCAATCCCGCCTACAGAGACTACAAGCGCAATCCGGCGGAGATCAAGAGGGCATCAGAGCTGACTGGCTATGCAAACCTGGTCCTGACAGCAGCAAATCGAGGGCTGGGCAAACGCGCAAGGGCCGCGCTGAAGGACCTGCGAAACTACGCCGTGTACTGCGAGGAGGGCGTGGTGAACGTCAAGAACGCAGGGCTGAACGTCGTACTCAATCAGCGCAGCGTGGACGAGGGCAGGATATCCGAGGAGGCGTTTGCGGCTTTCGAGAGCATGGTGGAGGCGTTCCAGTCGGCGCCGGGGTGGCGGGAGGCGCCGGCAGTCGGCTGGGAGAAGCTCAGGGAAAGGGGAGTCATTACTAAGCTGCAACTCGAGGATTTGAGGCACACGGGGTACGTGAACCAGAGGCTGCGCACCATGGACCCGGATGTCCGGCCTTGGACGCATTACTGTCCCGGCGGTGTGGAGACGGACACCTCCAGAGACGGCTGTGGCCTGTACACGAGGCCGGTGACTGTGGCCACACTGGCGGCGAATTTCATCGCCAACAACTACCCGCGCCACGAGCTTGTGAAGGGGTTCGCGGGCCAAATGGGGGGGGTGATGTCAAAACCGGCTGAGCACCCAGCCAGGGTGGCGCTGGAGATGATGATTGCGCAGGCGGGGTTGAGCAAGGGGGACGTGAGGGGAATGGCCGGCCTGATTGCTGCAGAGTTTCACGGCGCCTTCCTTGACCTGCAGACGCCGTACTTGTTCAAGCAGCTGCGTGTGCCGGACATGGAGGGGGAGGGGGACCGGGAACGGGTGGAGGCCCACTTCAAGGAGTTCAGGGGCGTTGTGGTGGACCCGGGCCTGGCGCGCGACGAGCTGGTCGTTAGGATCAAGGAGATCAACGAGCGGTTCAGGGAGGTTACGTACACTTTGGACGGGGCGGAAGTGAGGGGAATTCAGCTGTACTCGCCGCTCCAGGGCGTGGAGGGGCCCAAGGGAGCGCCATTCATGCCTCCCTTCGTGGGCCATAGGCACCTGGCGTTCTTGGTGGGCAGCGCGTACAGGGACACTCAAGGTAGCTGACTGATGAGAGTCAAACGTAGGTCATGGTGAGGGCCTGGGCCTGCACGACTTGGATGCGGGTTTGAGAATGTGGCGCAGCAGAAACGCAATGTGGTGAACGCGGTCGAGGCTTGATGTGTGTGAAGATACGGACCCAAACACGATTCCCAATGGTTTGCAACACGACGGCCTACGCGATGCAACAACACATACCAAGGATACACACCACAAGAATGGCCACTGACTGGCGACCACCAGAACTCCATAATTTCTGAAGACTCTAGGGGCGACCAACAACATTCGGGAGCCACAGGCCGCGCCACACACCGGGCCACCTGCTTGCTCCATCTAAGGTTCTGCTATCGGCGGAAACTACCTCTAATTGCTCTCGCCAAACTTGCCAAACGACGTTTGAAGTTCGCACCACCAACGCTCATCCAGTCGTGCAATGCAGGTGCCACCCTCGATACCCCCCACCCCACCCCACCCCACCCCCACCCCCACCCCCACCCCCACCCTTTCAGGAAACTACAATTCAGATCTATTTTTCTCCATAACGTCACTTCAACAGTGCGTCATTGAACATATAATTACAGCATATGTTGCGCAACAATCAACGGCCGAAGAGTCTGTATTCCGCGCTCTGTGGCGCGTTCCAAAAGCGTTGGACGATGCGCTCTCCCAGAAATCCAGACTTCCAAGAATCAAAGAATCCCAAATCGTGTTCCAAACAAGCCAAAACTAACTGCGGCTTCGAGCCCATGGACTTGGACCAGAACAGACCTTAGTCCATCGGCAAGCCTCAAATTACACAAACAGCACATCTCAACATCCGTTGACGTTCAAATATCGCTCACAAAGCTTAAACGATGGAGGACTTGGACATTGCCACCATCCTCCCAGGATGAAATCTCTCTCATACGACTCCAAAAAGCACACTGCTGTGGCAATGCTTCTCATAGATCCCTGGGGCCCCATTTTACCTCCAAGAGACAAATGTGACCAAAAGAATTCAGCCACCACGGATGCAGGCGCAATGCGCGACCGTGCCCTAGGCCCGCTGGTAGGGAATGGTCACGGTAGGGGCATCTTTCTTGAGGTATTGCTTTGCTTGGGACTCCATAATGATCTGCTCGAACTCATCCCCGTCGATCGTCTCCTTCTCCATCAACACCTCTGCCGTCTTGTGCAGGATGTCGATGTTGGTCTGCACGCACAACAAGGCGTCACAGACGCTGGAGAAACCGTGCGCTTCCCATCCCTGCCTCACATTAGACACATCATGCACCGAGTACATCAACTGCAACACACAAACGCACAAGCTGTCGCCACACACCTGAATCAAATCCTTGGCCCTCCTGTAGGCCCGCTCCACGAACTCCTTCACCTCTGTGTCGATGATGTTGGAGGTCGTCATGGAGAACTCCCCTGGCTGCGCCATCTGCTGGCCCAGAAACGTGGGGCCACTGCCGCCGGACCAGGCGATCTGTCCCAGCTTGTCACTGAAGCCAAGCTGGGAAACCATCGTCCTGAAAACAAGCCCGGAAACGCCATACATCAGAATACATATTACAGAAACGTGAATTGCTAAAATGCGAAAACCTTCCCGAAGTGAAAAGTTGAAATATGAAGGCACGCCTGCTGAACGAAATCAAAAGCTGATTGTTCGTTGAGAATTGGGCAAAGCAGAGCCGATTCTCAGCTGGAGCCCGTCAATCCTAGCAGACCGGATGGCCCAGGACGCCAGATATAGAAGACTTGCCTAGGAAGCACCACTCAACCCTGTTTGCCTCATACAGAGGCAATGCAGGGCAGCAGCCATTCCAAAGTGGCAAATCGAGCATTATCCTGCTGAGCAGCACCCAATTGGCAGTCCAATGGGGAATTTTCAACACATGCCTACACGCTGGAAACGGCATCACAGTTTGATGCACTGCACCACATAATATTGTGGACTGCACACGTGCACTGTGCCTGGTAAACGTACACCATATTAAGAATGTAGGGTAGTAATGGACCCAAAAGACGAAAATGGACAATATCATGAGATCGTGACCACATGTTTTGGGGTCATTTTCAGATGCGAATCCGGTGCAGGTGCGTATGCCATTATACTCGATTCAGCACCAGTTGAGAACTGTTTGCAATCAGCAGTAGCTATGGCACATGTAATTACAATGCGACACTTCGCTTAACTCTCACAACCAAAACCCCATGCGAAGGAACATCAGCCGCCTGGCAGACAGCAGTTTCAGTGCAAGCTTATCGTTGCCCATCCTAATTCCAAAATGCTCAAGGCGCTGCAAGGAAAGCACTGCTGGGCACTACAAACTGGGATATTCAGCACAAAGCCTAGCTGTATATCCAGTCACGTGCATCAATAACATCTCTTCGCTCAGCGTCACCTTGCATGAGGGCAAATGGGCAGCCTTCAATTCACGAGAAAACTAAAGTGGACCTCAGCATACATGCAGAAAATCAACGAGAATGAAGCGCAACAGACCATAGATTAACCAACCAGTGCGATTTCCCACCTAGCAATGCGGGTGACTTGCTGGAAGTCATTCGACGCGCCAGTGGTGATGTCCTCCTCCCCGAAGATGAGCTCCTCAGCAATGCGTCCACCGAGCGCCACTGCCATCTGGTTCTCGAGGTAGGTTCGGGTGTACAGGCCACTCTCCAGGCGCTCCTCACTTGGGGCGAAGAAGGTCAAGCCGCCAGCATTGCCACGGGGCACGATGGAGATTTTGGTAACAGGGTCGTACTCAGGCATCAATGCTCCCACCAATGCATGTCCAGCCTGTAGAGACGAGCAGATTTCAGAGCCGTGAGAAGCAACCCAATTTGCAGAAGAAACAAAACAGCGAATAAATGAAGATGCTCCATATGTCCCGGTGTTACCAGGGCAAGTTGGGTATGAAGGATCAGGACCAGTGGATCTTGGCAGAAACCAGTGCCTGGCACAACCTCTGCAGGAACCAATCACAAGTCCAATGTGTGACTCCCAACCATCCATAACAACTGCAACACATTGAACCAAACGGCAAGGCTGGCAAAAACAGGCAAATGCGTCAGTTGAGGCAACCAGAAAACAACACACTTGTCTGGACATGTGCCTGCACTGAGTTCAGATCATCACGTACAGTCAGTGTTTTGGGCAACAAAAGACATTTGCAATGCTTGGTGATGAGCAAACCACACTTAAGCCAATAACAATGCAAATATGGTCCAAGTGAACACTTGGGAGTGCCTAAAGACCGGTTCATTGTTGTTATCTGCACCAGACAGTCCTCTACTCCCATCAGCCCCCTTGGCCGTCTACATGCCCCTCCCACAGTGTATGCATGAACTGCGAGGATAACCAAACCTGAAGTACAAGAAATCGCATATTGAATTGCAGCAGTTCTGCAAGAGTTTGCCTTTACCTCGTGATAGGCGATGAGCTTTTTCTTAGCATCGGAGAAAACGGTCGTCTTCTTCTCAGGTCCAGCGATGATGCGCTCCAGGGCATCGGCGATCTCCTCTTTGGAGATCTCCTTCAGCTCCCGGCGAGCTGCCAGGATCGCCGCCTCGTTCATCAGGTTCTGCAGGTCGGCGCCTGTGAAGCCTGGGGTGCGACGCGACACCTTCTCAAGGTCAACGTCCTTGCCAAGAGTCTTGCCCTTTGAATGCACCTGCAAGGCCACGGCGTTTGTGTCTCACAAATGTTGACAGACACGGCATCCTTTCTTGCCCACAATGCAATATGGGGGCAAGTTGATAGATAGGGTTGCCACTTACTTGTGCAAGTATGGTTTTGCTTGGCATCAGCTGTCAAAGGACAACAGCTATCGGCTAAAACATGACCCTCAAACAAAACTTTCGTATCTTTCAGGTGTTGGCAGCCGCATAATGATCCAATGATTATGCACTGCATGCCACGAGGCCAAAGTTCTGCAACAGAGCCAACTTGGTGTGAGCACAGCCAGAAAAAACGCATCCATGTGACAGCCAAGTTCTTCGCTGCCTACATTTGACATCGGATTCTCGTAGAATGAGGGCACACTCTGTGAAATGGTGGCTTGTGAAGATTTTATGCCTGCAAACGCCAAACATTTTGCTCTGCAACTTTGCTATGTTACATGCGACTTTTGCAATCACCATCACTCCATGCACGGTCAATCCATTCCTTCAAATTAAAGTTACACATCACCAAATCTGTCAACACACTATAAGATGTAATGACCCCACTTTGTTCTGAAGCAACAGCTGCATTCAGAGAGGAATTTCACACACCTTCAGGATTGCCTTGCGACCATTAAGGTCAGGCCGGTCCACTGTGACCTGCCTGTCAAAGCGGCCTGGCCGAAGCAACGCCTGGTCCAGGACATCCGGCCTATTGGTGGCGCTCAGCACGATGACACCAGTGTTGCCCTCAAAGCCATCCATCTCTGTGAGCAGCTGGTTGATCGTCTGTTCACGCTCATCATTGCCACCGCCGAGGCCAGCTCCTCGCTGGCGGCCAACAGCGTCGATCTCATCGATGAACACGATGCAAGGGGCCTTCTCCTTAGCCTGGTTGTGGAGAAGTGTGCTCATGAGGTCAACCAACAGCTTTGTGTTCTGAACGGCTGTAGGTGGAAGGTTATGACGATGTCAAATAGTGCATCATTTGGTATCAAGTCAGCCAAGGCCGAGTGCTAAATATATTAATACAAAGGAGCACAGCAGGCAAGCTTTCCTCGTCCCAATTTTGACAAATCTAGCAAATCTAATCAAATGATTCATCATATTCCACTGCATCCAAGTGACCCGGATTTCACCTCACCTTGTCAAAGAGGTCCCTCACTCGAGAGGCACCAACGCCCACGAAGAGCTCCACGAACTCAGATGCCGCACACGAGAAGAAAGGCACGCCAGCCTCACCAGCCACAGCCTTGGCCAGAAGGGTTTTACCGGTCCCAGGGGGTCCAACCAGCAGCACGCCCTTGGGGATCTTTGCCCCCAGGTCTGTGTACTTATCCGGATTCTTTAAGAAGTCTACAACCTCCTGCAGCTCAAGCTTGGCACCATCGACACCCTGTCCAGTGCAAACATGCGAGCTTAGTGTCGTTTGGTTGTTAATACTCAGACTGCAGTGGCAATGAAGCTATGAAGTGCTGCCGTTATGGCTTCCGGGGGATGAGAGGGATATTCTGCTAGATGGAAAAAAATTTGACTGGAGAGACTAGTATCTAAGCAGGTGCTGCACAGCAAACGAATCCTGACAAGAACTTAGTCTATTTCCACTTAGCTGCAGACTAGAAGACTGACGGCACACAAACATCTGCAGCTTTCTCTTTCTACATGTCCACACAAAGACAGGCCTGTCTTCCATGGCAAAACACACAGAAACTTAGGCAGTTCTTCTGCCAATGGAATGCACACCACACAACTTTGCACACTTAAAAGCCTGCAGCACAGCTTATTGTCCGAATACTCACCGCAACATCAGCAAACTTAACGCCTGTCTCTGGAGTCTCCTGGAACTTGGACTTCGATCGGCCAAAGTCCATCGGGTTTCCTGGGCCCAGCGGCCCGCCGCCCTCACCAGCCCGCCCACGGAACAGCAGGAAGAGGCCGCCCAGGGCCAGCAGCGGAAACAGCAGGTTGCCCAGAAGCGCCACAAAGTTGCCTTCTTGTTCGCCCTCGGCCACTGAAATGTCGACACCATTCTTGGCTAGGATGTCGACAAGGTCAGGGTCGTTGGGCAGCACCACAGTAGCCCTGCAGCCAAAGATTGGTTTTTCAAAAAAAAGGGTTAAGTTTACAACAACAGGCAAATGTGTCTTGAAGTGGACCTCAACCTGTGCAGGCACATTAACAGCCTTTCCACACGTGCCATATTTTTTTGCATATGGAAACAACTGGGGCACAAGCCCCAGTAATGTCAACAGGATCAATACACAACACATGTGCGTGCACAACAGAAAGCAACACACAAAACAGGTGTGTCTGCGGAAACAGCCAACACTGCAAACACACTTACACGCTAGATCGTTCTGCTCAATTCCCTGCTGGGCCCAAATCACAACACGGCTCTTGATTCATGTTGCCATTCGTGCAATGCAAAGCACGCCAAATTGACACAGGTCCGGCAGGCACAGACCCAGAACCGGTCCTAACCAACCAAACAGGACACACCCAAAGAACACAACAACGCCAAAACCAGCCAGAAAAAACAGAACCCAAGAAGAACAGGGAAAAAGAAAGACGGAACGAATCCAAGCCAACAGAAAACGCGCCAACAAAAAGGGGAGCCTCGCGGAACAGAACCGTACCTTCGCCCATCGACGGCGGTGGCCTGCAGCGCGGTGCCGTCCTTGCTGAACCTCACGCGCTCCACCTTGCCCGCCTGCACGGCCCCCACGAACTCCGAGTACCGCCACTGGTTACCCTCCGGCAGCTTGTAGTCCGGCCCCGGCGACGGCGCCTCGAAAGTGCGCAGCGAACCCGCCGTGCGCTGCTGCTGGACAACCTCGGATGCCGTCTGAGGCGGGGCGTAATCTGCGGCGATGGCGGCGTTGAATTGGCCCGCGCTGGCGAGGAGGGCCGCGAGGGAGGCGGCGGGGAGCTTCTTGACGAGCTCCGTGGCCAGGTCGCGGCTCTGCGGGGCGATCCAATCGATTACGTTCAGCTCCTCCTTCAGTTCGTTCTTGCGGGATTTTCGGGTCAGGGTTGGCACGCAATTCAGTTGAATGTGTTCGGTTGGCTGCACAAATTTCGGGTCAGGGATCGCAGGCAGGGGGTTAAGCCGTTCGATGCTATGCAATTCTTTTTTAACAAACAGCTTGCGATCTTTCACGATCTTTGTGTTTGGCGCAATGGGACAAAGCCGTGCAACGTGCGAATGTGAAGGGGCCAGCGGGCCGAGGTCTTATGAGCACCTCTGCGAAGGAAGACTAGACTCTACGACGAAGAGCTGCGCGTGCAATGGTAAATCTAGGCGGGTAATCAGGCGTGAGGGTGGAGCATGAGGCAAGAGGAAATCCAGAAGGAGGACTTGTTTGCAGCAAAGAGGATGGGGAGAGGATCTTCGACTCTGTGGCGAGCTGCTGCGCACACATGGCCAGCATCGCCCACAATCGCGCAATCCAAGAACCAGCAAACCCGGGGAGCCAAAGCGCCGCAGCGCGGGGAACCGCCACCAAAAAAGGCATCTACTCCTTCGCCAACACGCACACGGGGTGCCTGCGCACGGCCATCCGCTTGGCGCGGCAGCGGACCGCAAGAGATCCTGACAAACAGCGCCGCGCATCCGCTCCTTCACAGACAGGCACACACTGCGCCCGGGCGCAACCCGCCATTCGCCACAGCCACAAGGCACAAAACATCGCGTAAAATTCCCACCCACCTGTTTCTTCGCCGAGACGCACACGGGGTGCCTGCGCACGGCCCTCCGCGAGACCCCCAGCGCCCGCGCCAGCATCTTCTCAGCACTGCGCGTCGGCGACGCCGATCCCATTGGCGCAAACCTCTGCCCAACCGACTGCATGGCTGCCGACCTTCGCCGCACCGATCCCCTTCCCTGCCTCTGTCGCTTGAGAGGGAGGTCGCCTTGGGCGCTTTGAGGACTTTGCGCCTTTGCCACGGACGGGGAAGGGGAGTATCGCGTTGGAGTGGTGGAGGTTGTGGGTTAAGGGCTGGTGGGATTTTTGGCCGCGGGGCGTGTGCGTGGAGGGCGTGGTGGGGCGGCTGTCTGCCTGTGCTTTAGTCCGACGTCATCGGTCGCGGGGGGCCTCCGGGACCGCGTGTGGTGAGCGTGACCTGCACCTGACGTGTGGCAGCGGCGGAAAATCTTCAGCACGACGACTGGCCCGTGCGCGACCGATGAATTCATCCTGTGGGATGACTCCAGCTGGACATTGTGTTGCACCCATGGCGTCCCTCTAATTCCTTTCATGAACTGATCATGGACACTGCTTCGCTCGGCCAAAATAAGGAGCTGGTGGCCGCGTACTTGCCTTGTTCTGTAAAAACGGGAATAATGGTGACGATACATCATGACTGTGAGGGCGAGCGTGTGGTTGATGTATGATATATGACATACGGTGTATTTTTATGGTGAACATGGTGCTATGGTGAATGTGCATGGGGGACAATGGGGACAAGAAAGTGAACATTATTGCAGTGGCTGTCATTTAGTTGATACACTCATCCTGTAATGCATCTGGCTGCGGCCTCGCTTTCCGTGCCTGGGAGCGACCGTGCGTGAGAGCACCAAGGTGTTCGGTCAACCTGGTAATGACAATGCATCATCACGAAGTCTTACATATCCAGGATAGTCGGTAGCCGTCAACTCCTGACAGGTTCTCCGATAAACTCACTGACTGCTGTGACTGGCGATTTCCCTGCAAAACTTGAAATCCGCTGACGGCCAGAGGAGGCCGGTCTGGGGAGCGCAGACGGCATGGCTCGGGCGATGGTTGGCGGCTCCCCTTGAAGAGTGGGGAACCGGCCGGCTGGGGCCTGGTGCTGTTCCGGCGAGTGACCGAATTGCTGGGTGTTTACCTGATGAACTTGTGCTTGGAGAGTTCTGCTTCATCTTTTGCAACACAACATCTCTGCTGCGGAGCTGGCCAACGCTTGTCAGGTTCTGCTTCCTTTTCCAGAGAACAGGGCGCAGGAAAGGGTGGGGCCTGGGTGGTGGCAGACACCGAAGTCACGCAGCCGTTTCTGTGTCACAGGGGGAAGCGACGGCAGCCTGCGTTGCTGTCACAAAATTACTTTGCGACAAAACAAGCCGTTTTGGGGAGCGAGGTTGATCGATTCAAATCCGGACCAACCTGACAAATGAGCGCAACTCACTTGACACCCACTTACCTGTGTGTCATTTCTCCGAATCGGAATTCATTGAATGAATTGCGCGATAATGCCCATGAATGCCAGTGCGAGAATATATGTGCACGACGGCAATTCAGTTTGCCTTGTTCATCGCCACACCTGCAACTGGTTTGTTAACGGAAATTCGTCCCCAATCATTGTCACGTGCGTTCTCCCATCCAACAACGTACTTGCGCTTCACTCGCAACGACAAAGCGAAGACAGCAATTCAACAATTGCTCCCACCCACCCCTCCCAAGCTTTCAAGCCTTGCCATGTTGCTAGATGATGCAAAAATTTCTCAACAAAACAGGAAAAGGAAACAACTGTGATCAGCAAAAACAACGATTACTTTGCATTCATCAGGACAATTCGTGGGCCAAACGCACTTAAAGAACCTCAGATGCTGGAAAATCATATGGCTACCGCACCGCACACCATCCAAAGCTTCGCAATGCTTGAACAAGCCCGCCTTTGCCGGCGCCCACCTCCCAGATCGCTCCACATCATCTTCTCACAGCACGGGAAAGCAGTCTCGCACACACTTGGTCAGGAGGGGGTGCCCAGTGCATGACCTGTTTCTCTTTCTCTTTGCAACAAATCCCTTGGACTACACAAAACAATTCTTTAAGATTTGCTGCAAAGAGGAAGAGAAACACATCTGGGACGCCCCACGTCTCAGATCGCCCCTCAGCTCATCCGAATCCTCCCCCCCTTCCTTGTCGGTTTGCCGGGTCCCCTCCCAAACCGTCTTCCCTACTTTCGATACCCCCACGTCCCTACAGCTACGGCCCAGATTCTGGATTTGGCGCCACGGCCCCCTGCCCTCCCAGTACTTACCGCCATACTTGGCCCCAGTACTTTAACCCCCTCAACCCCCACCCCAAGCTCCGAGGGCCAGCAGGCCAGACCCTGCTCGCGCGGAGCACCCCTCTCCGCGCGCTCGGAAAAGGGGCCTCAACTTGCAGCTCTCACTGCCCGCCAGCGACTTGAGACTTTTTTGAATCTTTGCAGCCGCCGTGGTGCGATCGGCGCGTGGCGGGGGCGATCCGGAGAGCCATGCCCGGCCTCTTGGGGAGCACCAGTCCCGGTAGCCAACTTTGATGGAAGGGAGCGCCGGCGCCAGGTGGGCGCCTGTGCGGTGATCCGACCCAACTGGGACGAGCGATGAGTAATGGGGGCGGGATTGGGCGAGTGAGGTTGCTGCGAGAAAGGGGTTGGTTGTTCGGCGTGTGGGGCTTGGCGTGCTCGGCTGCACCGTGTCGAGATGTTGGCGCAGCTCGAGTGTGATTCGACGAGCGGGCGCGCCAAGTTAGGACTATGGCGACTGGATAGAGGCAGGGCTCCACAGTGGGACGAAAGTTGGGTTGGGGCTGGGAGATGGCGCGTAGAAATGCCGAACTGTCGAGGATGCTGGCATTTGAGAGCAATTGTGAAAATCGTGCTGCAGTCCGCGGCGTGCGGCGCCGCGCTGGCTGCGGACGCTCTCCCCGCGGGTCGCACTTTGCGCTCCCGCGCGTTCCAGCGCCAGAAAATGGTCCGTGACGAAATCTCCTCTCTGCCACTTACCGCAACACGAATGGAACCGCGAGCACGCGGTTCCAGACGCGCTGGGCGTCCCGCCAGGCACCTTTTTTTTTCGGATTCTTTCGGCGCGCGCGTTGCCGAGTGGCTTCTGAAGTCACTCGGCGTTGCGCAGGGCGTCTTCGAGGAGGAGGAGGCCGCCGGCCATCACCAACCCCGCGTTCGAGCTGCTGTGTGACACTCCTGAAGCCAAAAGGAGGCCCTCGTCAGGTGCAGGGCGCCCCGACCTTCCTACCCAGGCGTCCCTGAGGGCCTACGTCGCTCTCGACGTAACCCCATTTCCACTCCACCACCCTCGCACTGCTTCCTTTTCTTGTGCTGATTGTGTTGTTGTTGAGCTGAATGAATGACCAGGTGAGCAGAATGAGCGGGTTGATCCACTGCAGCGACTTGGGAAACGAACGCGGTGGCCAACGTGCAAGTCTCTGGCGAGTTCAGCGCGCAGCATCAGCGTTGTGGACAGTTTGAAGGGACCTTAAAATGGTTCCAAAAATGGAAACAGCAAGGAAAACATGATAATTCAATGGGCGCCACTGAAGGGCATGCTCTTGTGAGACTCTTTCAGCGCTCCAGGAGATGCTGAATTAGTCTCCAAACGCTCCTCCAAATGGCATCTTGATCCATCCTCTGCAGTTTGTTCCGAATGCCGGGAAGTTGGGACGATTCGCAGTGAGCTGATTTGCTGCGACATCACTGTCTGCTAGGCAAACGGCGCCGAGGAGCCAAGGACCAGGGGGACCAGCCCGCCAGGAGGCGCAAGAGCTATTCCACTGCAACCAGGGGACGTGGAAAGTCTGGACAGGTGGCCGAACACAACAATGCACCCATTTTGGGAGATGCTGGCCCCTCTGGGCAGAGCTCAAGCACGCGCTCCCTCCAGGGCGCACGGCCGCTGGATGCAAATGCATTGGCAGACTTTGCAAAGATGCAGCTCTGCTCCAACGATTCTGGAGCACCATCAACAGACTGTGCCAAGGCGCAGCTGTGCTCCAACGAGTCTGGTGTGGTTTCTGTGGCAGGTGGTGAGGGCAAGGCAGGGCAAATGCAAAGCAGACGCCCTGCATGCCTTGCCCAATCGAAACCTTGCCCAGAGATGGAAACTGTGGGAAAATTAGACCCTGGACTCTTGGGCAAATGCCTTGCTGGGCCCATGGTTGAGCCTCCAGTTGATCAAGCACCTGGAAAAGCAGATGGGACGCAGCATGCTGACCTTCCAGCGTGTGGCGAGACCCCAGCGCCTGCTGCTGGCGCAGGGAGGGCAGATGTGCAAGGACCGAACACCGAAGAGAAAGACTCCCATCCTGAGGCTGCATGCATGCCACAGATTGAAACACCAGCAGTGAGGAGAGCCATGGGGGCTGCTGGAATGGCTTTCACCACGGGGAGTGGGCTCAGTGAGTCCCCTTACGGTTCTGATTTCTTGGCCAAGATCGACTCGTTGGAGAGAAGGGCACTGAGAAGGCACAGCATGGCGAGCGGGGAGGGTGATGACACTGCAGCCTGTGCCCTGGCGTACCCTGCGCGAGATTCGCCGAATCCTCATTCAGGGGACAAATGCGCTGGTGCAGGGCCCCTGACTGCCTGGTCAGGGCTTCCTGCGTCTGAGGCGGGCAATTGTGTGGGTTCAGAGAGCGCAGCCCAGGTTGCAATTCGTCAAGGTCCCCATGGAGTGCCATTGACTCATGCTCAGATGATTGCAGAAATGCTGGCATCTTCCCAGAAATCTGATTGTGGGGTATCTGGCCTGGATGTGGGCAGTGCTGGGGATGTGGCCGAAGCAAAGACGTCGCTGATGAAGATGAGCTCAACACCTGGGAAGCCCCCACGTGAGCACCGCACAAAATCTGGCACTGGGTCGCGTGTTGTAAGCTCTCCTGTGTTCACAGTGGGTCAGTCACCTGCGAAATTCGCTGCCATTCCGCTGAGCAACAAGCAGAGGCGCATCTCAAGGTCTGGCGCAAACTGCCATGCACCACACCCGGCAGTGCACAGTGCACTATCCAGTCCAAGTAATGGTGCCATTGGCACCCACCTGGAGCTGCAACGTAAAACACCAGCCTCAGGCGGAGTCGGCGGCCTAGGGGAGGAGACGCCTGAGGATCAACAGCTGTGCCAAGTGGGAACATTGCCTAAGGGTGGCCGCTCCACCACTGGGCAGCGATTGGAGCCGCGGAGCTCGCCACAGACTGCAGATTTTCTGGCGTCGATCGAACGGCAGATGGGGAGGGTGGACAACATGACACAGAAGCACAAGAGCATTGGCCTCTGCCTTGGCGAGTCCATGGACACAGTGGAGTGCCAGCTGCCTGGCATCCCTGGCAGTGCAGCACAGTGCAGTGCAGTGATGCAGTGCACGTTGCAGTGCAGCGCAGCGCAGACTGCAGGGGCATGTGAGCGACCCCCACAATCGATGGCTGTGCCCCCTGCTTCACCCTTCGCCCAAGGCCAAGATCAAGGTCGCAGCCATGGCCAAACCCAAGATCACAACTGGAGGTCCACAGTGGGTTTTGTGAGTGCGTTTGATTTGCGAAGCTCATTTCCTGAAAACATTCCACCAGGCTATGATGCGGGTGCCGGGCCAAGGCAGATAGGAGGCCATGGCATCCAGGGAGCTCTGGAGACGCCTGTGATCGTTGACAGGATAGTTGCAACCACATCGGGTTCCGGAGGGTGCCGGAACGGCAGCGCCTGTGCAAGTACTGGCTTGATTACAAGCATTGGAGTTGAAACAGCCCTCAGGAGCTGGCGCCACATCCCTGGTGGGGCAGGCCAGGTAATGCACAACCACAGGCCACATGCACCACTCAGCTCTGCTGATAGATCTGAGGACATGGATGCCTCTGCCCTGCATGGCAGCTGCAAGGCTGGTCGCCAGCCAGGACAGCCTGAAAATGCACAGATGGACGCCAAGAGGTTTCATGCTGTGGGTCAAGGTTTACAGGCAGCTAATAAACCCCAGTCAGGTCATGCTGAGAATGTCCTCAACAAGCTGCACTCAACAGTTGGAGAGGAAGAAGGGCCAAACATGGCCAGCTGGGGCAGATCAGGCCGTCCTGAAAGCTCCATTGTCGAAATGCATCCTATTGCAGCAAAGGAAGAAGAGCGCCAGGCTGCTGTTGGCCAAAGTGACGTGTCCGTGCCAGTACTGGGTGTTGGAGGGAAGCTTTCTGGATGTCGTGGGCTGCCTGATGGTGGGGGAAGTTCAGTCCCTGGTGGGTGTTCAGCTGTGGGAGCTGCCAACAGGCGACTGGAGGCATACCTTCCAGAGGTGCTGTGCAGTGCTTTTCGTCAGTCTGGCATCAACAAGGACCTGTATGACTGGCAGGTGCGAATTCCATTCATCACTCTTCTGAATTTTGGGGGAGGTGCAAAAGATGTGCATGTGACAGTGCTCACCTGAATACCTCACCGCTTGGAAAAACGTTTTCATTGTTGTGATTATCCTTATCCCTCTGTTTTGATGTGCAATAGTGGCCAAATGCAAATGGTCAGTTATTGTTGCAATTTGAAATATATGTACACCATTTGCCAGAAAGGCTGCTGTTTTTGTTCAAAATTCCATTCATTTTTTGGATTGAAGTTCTTATTGACTTCAAATTGAACTAGGTTGAATCGAAAAAGATTCTGGGATTGGTTTTGGAATTTCTAATCTTCATGACGAGTCTTAATGCCGACAACCAGAGTGCCTCTGTCGTACTGGGATTCAGGATGTATCCCTGTTCATTTGAAACCTCAAATTTGAATCCAGCTGGAGTTCCAAAAGTCAGTTCAAACTCAATGCAGCCCAAATATGTAGATTCAACTCAATTTTCAGTTTAGTTTCGAAAATCGCTGATGTTTGACGAACCTCAATATCAACAGGCGGAGTGTCTCTGCCGTCCTGGGGTCCTGGATGGCAAGAACCTGGTGTACTGCGCCCCAACCAGTGGCGGCAAAAGCCTGGTGGCGGAGATCCTCATGATGCGGCAGGTACAAAGACGTACCAATTTCATTCCACAAGCATTCTGTGTAAGGGTTCCTTGTCTTTCCGCAAAGGTTTTCTTTGCTTTGTGAGGTCCTTGTGGACTCCCGAAAGAACTAATATTGTCTTATGATCTGAGTTCAATGGAGGCACTTGCAATGAATGGTGTGTCGTTGTGCACAATAAATACTGTGGACAAATACAATCTGTTGTTAGTGGGTTTTGTACACAGAAGGAATGACCACAGGATACGTGCCCTCATCATTTCCTCAGTGTTTTGTATTTTTGCTCCTCCAATGTTGGAGACAAAGTTGTTTCAAGATGCATGCTAGTTTGACTATGTGCCGCAGTAATACAGGCGCTGTGACCATCGACGCCCAAAATATGCAAACAATAGCAGTGACTATCGACTGACTGATTGATGAGTTTGTTTTGTTGTTTCGATGGATGATTATGTTTGGAATCTTGATGGATTGATGGATCTAATATTATGATGCATACTGATGTACTATTGGATTCTGTTTGGGACAGTGATAGGCAACAGGATTAGTGGCCTTCAATGCGTTGTTTTAGTTTTAGGTGATTTTCATCCACACCCCTGATCGTCATCAGGATTGATGTACCTTATTGTATTAGCTGATTTGATTTGTCGGCTGATTCTGATGGGCTGACTCTTGGTACAGGTGATCGCCACAGGCAAGGCTTGTCTGCTGGTGCTGCCATTCGTGAGCCTGTGTGGCGAAAAGGCTGCGCATCTGGAGAGGCTCCTGGCACCGATGCACAAGACCGTGAGGGGTTTCTATGGGTCACAGGGTGGTGGGGAGATCTTCCGTAACGACACAGGTAACCCCTTTCTTCAGAAACAGCACCTTCTGTCTCATTCTTGACAGTAGTGAATAGAATATATGGTAATAGTAATACTATTAGTAATATTTTAATGGATATACTAGATATTACTAATACTCTAATAGAATATGGTTCTTAAGTCTCTATCACCTGGAGGGCAACTGATTAGGGATGGAGGCAATGTCAAGAATCGCAATGATGAAGTAGTAAGCTTGAATGTTGACAACGACGTGTGGAGGTTTGGTTCATTGAATCTGCGCTGTGATATATGCGCAGCTGTAGCTGGGAGGAATTACTTGTCCTCTCTGACTGCTGTTTGTGTGTTGCATAAATGGTTGGCATGGAGAGGTGTGTGGCATTGATAAACAAAACACACGTTGTGGGTGTGCAAGAACTGACACTACCAGACAAGCCCTAGGGCTGTTTCTGCTATTCTGTGCATTTAGGAGAATGGTTGCACACAATAGTTGTCTACCAATTACATTGTCACAGTTGTGCACACATTTTGCAGAGGCACAGTCAGTTAAAATGTGTTGATGTGAACACGTTGCATGTCTCCCTTCAAATTTGTATCTGTGCTCGTCTTTATCACTCGACATGGCCTGATAGTTGAAAGGGCAGTAGTTGGTCATGTCTCTTTCTTGACAGATGTAGCAGTTGAGCAGTGTACCTATTAGGTACGAGACATTGCTATGCTTCAGCAAATTTGATCAGCACAGGCTTTGAACGCCAGATGCGGTGACCTGATGCAAGGGCACTGCCATGCGACAAAACCCTTTGAAACACCGGGACAGTTAAGCAGCACTAAATGTCTTAATTGAATTGAAATAGTGTACTCTTGCGTTGTATGCTTAACTGTAGTTCAACACCAGCACCCCAACTAAATTAAGCATGAAGTTGTGTGAACCACCTGGCAGTCACATTACCTTGCCACAAATGCACAGGAACGGTCAGCCCAATGCTGCACGGAACTCGAAATTTGCACACGGACGAATGCGGCAGTGTGACCAGTTCGTCATAGTCATTCCAGCACCCATCGATATGGTTAGACATAGTGATTGCAAAGCTCAGATGGCTCAACCCTGAGCAGTAGCATGACCCGTATTTGCTAAAGCCCGCTCTTGGGCAAGAGGACAGGCCGAAGCCATACAGGCAGTATCAGTCACCGTTTGTCCTGATGACTCGACTCCCTTTGAGTATTGGCATTGGTGTGCAGGCGCCCTTGTGTGCACCATCGAGAAAGCAAACATGCTTGTCTGCCGAATGATAGAGGAGCAGCTGCTGGACAGGCTGTGTGTGGTGGTGGTGGATGAACTGCACATGGTGGCCGAAGATGACAGAGGGTACCTATTGGAACTTCTGCTCACAAAACTCAGGTATGCTTTTTCGTGACTGCACTTATCTTTCTGCTTATGCAAATGGCTGCTGTTTGTTGGACAATAAAAGATAATCATTTGAGCAGCTGATTTTAAGTGGCTCAAAGTAAACCAGTGCCTGTGGCGAATGAATTGCAAGTGGGGGCCAATGGCGACTGGAGATGCTTGCTTAATTCAAGCACTTGTTTATTGCAACAATTCTTTCCTGTTCACGCATGTGATGGCAGACCAATATGTGTCCATGGTGTCAGTGCACCACACTCCAAAGGCGGAGGCATCATGCAGCCAAAGCTCTGCCAAGCGAACCTTGCTCATGTATGCGATATGGGACGAGTCAGATCCTGTCAATTATTCTTTTGCCCCATACCTCTTGCTTCACAGTAACTGCTTATCAGTGTGTGCTGTATGCACATTCGTCAACAAGCAGGATCAGTAAGGTACTACTTTCCATGTCAGCACAGTACTAGAGGTTGCTGCGCATTGAAGGATAATGTATGGGAACACTAAGTGGGACATTGCACCTGAGGGAGCAAATGAGTCAAGGTGGCAGATGAGCTGCTTGGGGTGAGAGGCAACAACTGGGACAGATCGTGGAAATCCTGTTCATCGTAGTCACACACGTTTCATATCAAATCCCTTTCCACGATGACCACCATACCTGCGATGGCATGCGCTGCAACACATCAAAATCGTGATTCAATACAACGAAGGGAATGAAACCAGGTCAACTCAATGCGATGCTGATCTGTAGTTGTGTAGAATGGAATGTTATGCTATGCACGATGTATTCTAACATTAGGTCTCTGTGTCCCAATTGGCAGAGTCACCAGGAAGATGGGCTCACAGCACTTGTTCATATTGCTCGTCTGCATCTATTTTGTTGTTACTCTGGCACTCTCCTGCTCTGCTGGCAATCAGACACATGCATGTGTGCCATGTCATGTGAGCAGATATGCCACCTTTGTGAACGATCAAGAAAGTGAGGTGCCGAGGTCGGAGGGCTTGCAGGTCATCGGCATGAGTGCCACCATGCCAAATGGTGCTGACGTAGCTCGGTGGTTGGGGGCAGAGCTTTATGTGACAGACTTCCGCCCCGTGCCCCTGAAGCGCATGCTCTTGGTGAGGAGCAGCAGGGGCTGCCACCCTGCAGCCAAATCCCTGAATTTCTATGTCGAACTCATGCCGTGATGCACTCACAGAAAAAATGGCCATTCTGCACAGTGTGTTAAAGAGAATGATGTTAGAATGGTGTTGAGTGTTGAAAATCGTGTGCTAGTGGTGCAAGCTGCACTAATAATGGACCAAAAGGGTGTTGATAATAGCGCAACTGGGCTTGAGTATTCCATGCTATCCTGCAGTAGCAACGATTTGGCTCAAAGTCACTGAGGAGCACATGAAGTCACTTCAGTAGGAGCAGAGTGTACTTTGTACTTGTATTGTGTGGTTCCTGGGCCTGTGGACTGCAATTGGATCCTGTCCATGTTGGAATGGCATCCTGTTTGCTCGTGCACTGAATTGTTGAATGTTTACAGGAAAGTGGACATCCTAATTTCAGCTGTAGAATTCCAACCGCAACGTTGCTGGATTTGGTGCAAATTTTCAGTGAAATTGAGATCATCAACGTCAGCTAGCTGAGAGGAATACATGGAACATCATTCAGTGATTGAAAGAGCAGTGCACAGTGCCCAATTAATTTCACAAGTGAGATTGGCACCGGCTGGTTGCAGCATCAATGATAGTTTAATCACTTTATCATCATGATCATCAATAAGTCTTGTCAAAGTATTTGCAACGAAGTTCAGTAAAGAACTGCCTGTGGCACTTTGAGTATTAGTAAAGAAAGTTCAGCTATCACAAGTGTGCATAAATAAATTGTGCTTGTAGCACTGTTAACTGCACATTCTGGTGCATGTGGTGTTGCAGATTGGGCGAGCACTCAAGGACCCTCAGATGAAGACTGTTGGAGAAGTGCCTGTCGACCCGGAATGGGAGCGGAGCGATCCCGAACACTATGCCTGGCTCGCCAAAGAGACTGTTGATGAAGGCCACTCTGTGCTGCTGTTTTGTGCAACCAAGAAGGCGTGCTCAGATGCCGCAAAGATCATCGCCAAGATGGTGACAGTGCCAGAGCGGAAGATCGAGTGTGCGGCAAATCCAGGCAGGGCTGCAGGCACTAGCGAATGATATGGATGGGTGGATGTGTGGGTAGACATACAGATGAACAGATAGGGAATAACAAGGCAGGACATGAAGTTTGAAGAATGGGAATTACAACATTTGCAGAAATTGCAGCGTCTGAATTGAAATTTGCTGAATTCTGAATTCTGTATTCTGCAGCGCATATCATGTCTACATATGCTTGTTGTGCATAACCTGACCTCCATAATATGGGGTTCAGGACAGAAAGCGAATATCTTGCCTGTTGAACGACAGCACTCTTTAGCAACCACCAAGGAACCAAGGAAACACCTCGTAGTTGCGTGCACGTGACAAATTCGGTCAGAACAGATTTCAATGGCATGCTGTGACAGCCCATTAAGCACAAATGTATGCTATCCACGATGTCCACGTTTGGGCATCTGTACCTTACTCATGTGGCTTGTGGTGCGTAGGGCAGCATGACCGGGCATGGATCGTGGGGGAGCTCCGCCGCCTGTCTGGCAGCGCTGAAGCCATCCTCGCTAACGTCATCGCCAAAGGGGTGGCCTTCCACCACGCGGGCCTGTCGTCGGAGGAGCGCGAGTTGGTGGAGATGGCATACAGATGTGGGGCAATTTCGGTGCTTGCAGCGACGTCCACGCTTGCAGCTGGAGTGAACCTGCCTGCAAGGAGGGTCATTTTCAGGTGGGTTGTAGTTTCTTGTGCACTTATGTAAGAGGTACTGATAGGTACTGTAAATATTCACCATTCTGCATAGTAATGGAACACTTGGCCTTTCTTTGTGGAGCAGCATAAAAAATGTAACAGTAACACTCTAGAAAACACGCGGAGCGAAATCACAAAAGCAAAATTAACTGAAACAGAAGGATTGAATTTTAGGCAGCCGTTAGGAGTAGTTGAAGCTGCAGTTGGCACTGTGCGAAGTCGCAGCGACATCCGCGTTTGCAGTTGGAGTCAACTTGCCTGCAAGGAGGGTCATTTTCAGGTGAGTTGCAGATTCTTGTGCATTTCTGTAAGAAATACTGAATGGTAGGTGAGAGTGGTTGCAGCTGCAGGCTAGCTGTTTCAGTGTCTTTCAAGTCTTGAAATTGATGATTTGGCACAGTTGATAACTGCAAGCATGTGTATTATCCTGGCATTGCATTTATGTGCTTCAATGCGGTGGACGAAACATCAAGATGACAAGCATTAGTTCTGCGCAGTTTGGTTACTTGCATGTATTGTTGTTTTTCAATCCATGTATTGGTTTGTATCTATTGTGTTGACATTTTGCTCTCGTTTTGGTTGCCAGGCACCCCTACATGTACAAGGACAAGAAGAAGGTGCTCCTTGATGGCACGAAGTACCGGCAGATGTCTGGCCGGGCAGGGCGCGCGGGCATCGACACACATGGAGAGGCCATCTTGTTGAACTCAGCCGATTTCAGCAGTGCAAACATGGTGAAGCTGCTTCAGGAGGACCCCAAGCCAATTTCGAGCTGCCTCTCGGAAGACCGCCGGGGCATGAAGAGGGCCATGAATGAGGTGATTTGGTCATCAATGTGGCAACTGTACATTGCTATAAAATGTGTTCAACCCGTCCGCACAGTAATGCTTGGCCATTATCTGCCAAGAACATGAATGGATGGCAACACAACACCTGGCCTTTCTTGGCAGAGCAGTGTAAAAAGACAAAATAACGTTCTGGCTGTCTACGCATTTAACAAACACCATGGACAATGGAACAGCAGCAGGTCGATGGCTTACTGATGAGGGTCATGCTCTATGCAAAATGGTCATTACTGTACAGTCCATTGTTCGGCTGTTGCAGTTATTTTGTCCATATTGATGTCGTGAAGCTCTTTTCAACGTCTTTCCAAGTGAGGGGGAAAATAGTAAAATACGAAATGGGCTAACAGGCATCAAGAGCTGATGAGATCAAGTGATTGAATGATCTGAATACCAGGTTTTCAGTGATGCACCACAGCAGACGTTTGGGCGAATCGTTCAATCTTGAATTCATTCAGTCGTGAAATTTTCTGGTTTCACTTTCACCAGTGCCAATGCAGTGGTGCAGTTGATTCAATATCTGCTGCACATCAATTCACACAGTTCATGTGGCTGGTCAGTTGACTGTCTTGATGTACTGGTTCCATTGAATCAGTTGATGCCAAGGGTGTGTTGACTCAGCTGATTTGATCATCAGTTGGTCCCAATGGTTGTTTGGTCTTGTGCAGGTTGTGGCAAGTGGTGCCGTGTCGACGCCTGTGGATGTGGACAGGTTTGTCAAGTGCACGCTGCTTGCAGCCACCAGTGATTTTCAGGATGTTGTGGCAGACGCAACCAAGAAGGCACTGCACTGGCTGGGCGTGAAGCAATTCGTCAGGTGCACAAAAGACCACATTTCAACGCAGATTGGAGATGTAGGCGGAAAAGTTCTGGTCACTCAAGCAACCAAGCTGCGCGTTTGTTTCTCCCCCTGGCTGCTTGTCAGTCAATCCACAAAGCAGCCCTCACATCGACTGTTGGAACTGTCACAGTCAATTTCTCTTTTGGCACACACACACACACGCACAGGGAACATTGAAGTGTTCAGAACTCCTTGAAGAAGAGCACCTCTGGCCAGTTCTGAAGAAACATATCCCAGAGAACAATGCCTGCATCGCTGTGGTTGACAGCACTGTCATGCGGTGCCACCAAACTGGGCACTGGGCACTTCTGCGATCCCTGCATACAGCAAGCTGAATTGCTGAGCAGCACATGTTAGCAGTGCATCCTGTAGTGAAATGGGAAGACTTCATGCAATCTTGGCTGTGTTCTGTGCCCCACGGTTAATCAGATATTGCTGATGACGTGCAGATTGAATTGCCAGCACCGGCAAGACACCAGGTAGAAAAGATCGCTGCATTTTGATTTAGCATTTCCTGGAAGCATTTTGCATATTACTTAGCTGCAAGTTGGCACGACAGCCAAAAGCACACAAAGTCCTTGTTGATGCATTGGTCAATCACTAGTTAGTAGACTAGGTGTTTGTGAGCTTTGGTGAATGGGATGACCTTATGAGATGATAGTTGCTTGCTCGCTTGATTACAACTGTTGAATCAATTCGACTGCTTTGCAGATGGGAGGGCAATGCCTATTTTGCGCCGACAGCGCTTGGCAAGGCTTCCCTGGCCAGCAGCCTTGCCCCAGATGATGCCATCATCGTCAAAGAAGACTTGGCCCGTGCGCGGCAGTGCTTTGTCATGACCACTGAGCTCCATCTCACTTTCCTGGTGACCCCCCTGTCTGAGGTATGCACTTTTACCCCCTTGTCCTGTGATCATGTCAACCAGGATTTGACTACATGTGCCTCATCGATGTGTACTGTTTTGCCTGGATGATGTATGCCCCATTGATAGGTGTGGACTCTATGTGCTGCTTCATGATCGGCTTTGCAGGTTTGCCCTTATTGGGACCATCAAAATTGCCAGGACGATGCCCATTTTGCACATTCCAGGCAATGGGAGCACTCATCTGATTCTCAAGTCAACGTCCTAAGCAACATCACAGTATCCTGCTGGGAGCAGAGTCTGGTTTAGTAAAGGCTACGTAATTAAGGAATTCATCATCATCCTCAACATCACAGTATCCTGCTGGGAGCAGGGTCGGGTTTTGTGAATGCAATGTGATAAAGGAATTCATCATCATTAACATCACAGTATCCTGATGGGAGCAGAATTGGGTTTAGTGGATGCTATGTAATTAAGGAATTCATCATCAACAACACAGTATCCTGCTGGGAGCAGAGTCGGGTTTTGAGAACGCTATGTAGTTAAGGAATTCATCATCAGCACCTAGTGAATGCTATGTAATTAAGCAATTCATCATCATCATCGTCAGCAGCAGCAGCACAGTACCTAGCGGGAATAGAGAAGCAACCCATTTGGCAATCATGGCTGGGTTGTCCAGTTCTGTTGTGGCAGTGCGCAAATCCTTGAAACTGCCACGGCAAACAAATCATCTCATTATCATGTCCCATTGTCGTCTTCACAGTGTGCAGCCCAATGAAGTACTGTTTCGTTGGTGGATCCCAGCAGGGTGCTGAATTCTGATCACTGACCTGTGCTCACTGTCTCCATCCCAGAATCAGGGCTAACTTCAATTGAGAATCCTGTCCCAGGATGCTGCACATCTAGTAGTGGGCCTGTTTTAAGTTTTGAAGGCTTCTGGAGTACGAAATGAACTTGACAGAGCTGCTGAGCTGCAAGGGCAGAACACGTGTTGGCTTGCTCAGCGTGCACCACTGGCGATTCATGGCGTCTCTGCTTTTGTGTTCCTGACTCGAAATTAACCCTGTTTGTGGGTCTTGTTGCAAGTTGCCATACATCAACTGGCAAGCCCTCTTTCGCCTGTACAAGAGCCTTCCAGAGTGTGAAAAGAAGGTTGCAGAGCTGGTTGGGGCAAATGAGGGCTACATCCAGAAGATGTCTCACAATCCCCCGAACAACAGCAGCAAGGATGGGGTGGTTTCGGAGCCAGAGAGGATTTGTGAGCGCTTCTACGCTGCCCTGATTCTTCACGACCTGATCCAGGAGGTGTGCAGTCACTGATTTGGCCTGGTGCGAGTGTTGAATTGTTGTTCTATATTATGAGCACATTTTCAGGTTGCATCGTTGCATAGTGTCACCTGATAGATAAACAGGTCAATAGCAATAACACTAATTGTTCGACTACGATACCATACTGATCATTGGGGCGATGCCCTGGAATTCCAGAATGTTCTTGACAGTGCCTTTCAAACAGATTGCATTTTGAAATGAAGAAAGGCAATGCCCTTTGTCAATACTTGATCAGCATAGGGTTTCGACAAATGTGGTCATTGCAGATTCTAATCAGGCATGTCCACTAAACGGTAGAGTGGATGTTGCACTTGCCAAAGACGTGGTGCGGCCTTCAAGCTACCCTGAAGCTGCCTTGGAAAGAGAAGGAACTGCACTAGAAAGGCGAGAAAGCGCCCTTGGGCCTATGAGGCATTGCTGGTTGTTGTCTATGGCAACAACAGATGTGTCTGCAGGTGCTTGTGGATGTCGTGCGCAAGAAGCATGAAATCCGAAAGGGGCTAACCCACACCTTTGTGGATCGTTTTGGCAAATTTGAAAAACATGTAGCTCTGTTGGCATCGAATGCTGACCATGTGAACATTCCTGTATGTCATATGTTCATGAGAGTGGAGGTCAGTACAAGCATACAATCCGAGTGCTTGGATGGCAAATATGGGCTACTTGGATGATTTAAAATTGTCGAGCATGTTGAGGAAGTTTAGATGTTTTCAGATCATTGTTTCAGGCTTTTCAATGATTCTGTTCAGAACATGCCATATATGTGGATGCTTCCACGATTTTGCAGCATCTCCAGTGCAGCACAAATCCCAGTGCGCCTACCCCTGTGCAGGTGCCCATTGATGCCATCTGCGAGAAATACGAAATCCTGCAGGGGGGCGTTCAGAGCCTCCAGACCAACTCAGGCAAGTTTGCGGGCATGGTGGCCCTCTTCTGCGAGCGCCTGGGCTGGCTGGACCTTGAGGCCCTGGTGGCGAAGTTCCAGGGGCGAGTGTGGAGTGGGGTCAAGCCAGAGATCCTGGCCCTCACGGAGATACCCTACGTGAAGGCAGCAAGGGCGCGGACGTTGTACAAGGCTGGGCTGAGGACTGTGGATCAGGTGGCAGCCGTGGAGTCGGTGAACTCGCTGGTGGCCATCCTTGCAAATGGTGAGGAGGAAATGCTATGGGGCAGATTGTATTGCATGTGTTGCTGCTGTGCTCTAGAGATGCACAATGTTGAATGTTGATATGGATGGGTGCAACAGCGTAGAATGTCTGAACATTTTCATCCTCTGTCCTATGTTGATGGTCCTCTATGATGTTGGGGCCTTACTTCTCCATCATAGAGACTTCAGCTTTTAGAGAAACTGCATCCAAAGTTGCGCGTACAAGTTTGGAATGTACGGTCAAGGAACCCAGTCAATGTGTTAGGTATTGCAGATTTGGCAGTGCTTGGCAGCAAGGGTCCTTTGGTTAAAAATCGTGTTTCGCTGAAATGGAACAAATTTGTGTTTCACCCAGCGTTCAAAGTTGTCAGGGTCGAAGTTTTTCCTTGAAAATGGGTAGCTAACGGTTTTGGGACCCAGTCGTTCCAATTCTGACATCCTTGTGCTGTAAGGAGGCTGTTTTGTTAACGAAAATTATCTTTCGAACAGAGAACAATTGGCATAGGCTGGAAGAAGTGTAAGTTAATGTGACCATTGTTTGGTGTTGCAAATGTCCAGACACTGCAGGAGGTCGGGCCAGGGTCACTGTACCAGGTGGTGGCCGGCTGTGCAAATGCAGTGGGAAAGATCATTTGAGGCACACTACATCTGTTGCCTGTGCACTACATACTGCTGTATATATCACCACCTGCGCATGTATTTGTTGTGTATGTTGCTGGCCGTGTCACTGCATAATGCTATGTACACAGCATACGGCAGGCCTCAGAAAAAACTGGGTGCAAGGTTTACGCATGTGCTGTGTAAGAAAGGCGTGCAAGTGGCTGAGATACTGTACTGAACATAGTTATGTACTGTGTGCAATTGTGTCAGGGCAGCAGCATACGACATACAACAGATTATCAGCGATTTTGATTATCAGTACAATAATAATCGACAGTTTTGAGAAATGCGATGTAATGCCCAGTACTTTATGGTACAGGCTCGTACCGCTCTTTCCTGAAAAGGCCTGGATTGTTTCCTTTCTGTGCTTGATCCCGTATGTTTGAACTGCAGGCGCCCCTCATGGGGGCATCAAGGGCGACAACAACGATGCGCAGCTGGCTATCGAGAGGCGCGCCGCCAAGATGATCTTGAAGGGCGCGCGGGAGCTTTTGGTCCAGAAGGCCCAGGAGCTTAAGGACCAAGCAGCTGCTGCCGAGGTCATTGTTAACCAAAGGAAAAGGGAGCGCTCAATGTCAGGCAGCTTGGCCGTTGCTGCTAAATCGCCCTCTGAAGATCCCTTGCAGGGTGAGTTGAGAAGTTGGTCGTTGAATGCATGTACCAATGGCTGTGCAGCGCACATCTTATCGTTGGGTGTTGTTGTCTCTGGTTGTGGTGGATATGCTGTGCTGTTTTGGTATGACGCAGTTTGTCATTTGACATATGATGTGAAGAGTGTGGTTGAATGTATCACATCATATGATGTGACATACAGCATGGATTATCATTCCGAATTACTGCGGAATGACCTATGGCACTAATTCGTCCACTGAAGATCACGAGCCACATAGTTGGAGAATTCGTTTGATGCAATACTTGTAAGATTTTGAACAGACTAAAGCTATGGTAGATTGTGGAGAAGATGCCATTTTGCTATGCTGAAGCCAGCATCACAGTAGTGCTCTGGATTGGCTGATGCTTTTGAAAAACATCTTCTGAAGAAATAGGGGTTCCAAAAAAATTGGCAAAGTGGGAGAAATAATTCAATGCTGTCAGCCTGCATTTCTTGGGCATAATTATGGTAATGAGCACTGGTTGGTGCTGAATCGCCACGTGGTCACGCCCTCAATCAAGGCCCCACATTGCACAAGTCGAGAATTCAGTTGAAATGGTGGACATTCTGTTGTAGTTAATTCTGATCGGCACAGCTTGTAGCTGCGCTCATGCTGTTGCTCAGAATGACTAGTACTGCAGAATAAGAATTCTTAAGTGAACTCTCCATGGAATTGTTCGCAAAGCAAGTTTGGGATCAAGTTGCACCAGAATTAAGAAATCAGGATTCGAATGTTGCCAATTGGCTTGACTGACTGATCGATTGATGGTTGGCTCTGCAGCCATGGCAGAACCAAACGCAATGACGCCTCCACCATCCCCTCCACCATCTGCCCAAGCCCACAAGCTGCGACTGGCCGTGGAGTCTTCCACTGGGATCGTCACCGTATCAGATCCAGACGACATCAGACACGCCTGCAGCTTCCTTGCAACCCTCCCACAGTTCAGCTTCGACTTTGATGCCACACAACCCCCGGTTGGTGCTCCGGGCCCCAGTCTTGAACTACCACCTGGTCCCTTGGGGCCGGAATCTGACAATAATCAGAATCCACAAGGGAAACCCAATCCGCATGCAAATCCAAATCTGCATTTAGCACACACCGTTAATGGGGTCGCATTCTCGTGGACGGATGAGCATGCGATCTACATCAATTTGCGAAACAACGAAAATTGCAGCCAATGGCAGTTTGTGGCAGACGTGATGAAGGGCCCCGCAGAGAAGGTGGCTTTCAGATTGAAATCGCAGCTCAAGGCAGTTGGTGCGGTGGGTGAATCGGAGAAGAGGTGCATGAATGTGGTGGCAGCAGTTGATGTGGGGATTGCAGCTTGGCTGCTGCAGCCGGACGAGGTGAGGGGCTATTGGAATCGAACCTAATTTGATGATGTTGAATCAATAAGAATGAACAATCGAATCGGATCGAATCGAAGCATTCAGACGGAATCGAAAACGAAATTGATTTGAAGCAGAAATAAGGTGAAGCATCGTTTCTCCATGTTATCAGGTGCACCTGTGTTGACACAATGGACATCACAGCGGTCGATAAAGTGCTCAGTGCACATGATTGCTAATTACTGGTTGCTGTTCCATTGATGCCAAATGCACATGGTGCACAGCAGGTAAAAAGCTCATTGCCTTGGCCTGCTACTTTCCTGAGTACTTCGGCCTTGCAGCTACATTTTCGTGATGCCTGTTGGCAGCCGTCAGGCAAATCAGTCACCACCGCGACTGAAACCTATGCAGAGATGTGAACAAATGTTATTCAGCATCAGCAATGTGGACTCAGAAAGTGTACAAATTGCCGCTGTTTGCTGCAGGCAAGTGGCTTCCGAGGCTGCGGATCGGGGAGGGGCTCATTCCCAACGACCTTGGAAAAGATGCTAGAGGTGCACGGTGGCCGTTCTGCTGTAATGCAAGCCTGCGCCTGCCTGAATGGCGCAAAGTGCGTTGGTCGACCAGCGGCTGCTTGCAAGAGGGCGTCGATGTCAAGGAAGCTGTTTGGCTTCCTGGCACCGCAGCTGCAGGTGTGGAGCTGCAAGCGCGAGTTGCATCACCAAACTAAGCTAGCATGGACCTCCCGGTTGTCTGCCCCACAGAACATCCAATTTGTTCCGCAGAATCATTTTGCAATCGAATTTGTGGCTAGGACGTCCCGAATCCCTGATCTAAACTCCCAAGATTGCATTTGTGTAATGCATATGAAAAGGCTGGAACATGTCTGCGTGAATTCTTGAAATCTTGAGTACTACAACAAGGAGTAATGTGCTCGACTCCATCCTGCCCCACAGACACAGGGCCTCCTCACCCCCCTTCACGATGTGGAGATGCCACTGGTGCCCGTGCTGGTGGCAATGGAAGCCACAGGCATGCCCTTCGACCCTCGGATCTGTGCATCGCAGCGGGGATCCCTGCAACGACGCCTAACTGAACTCGAGGAGAAGGCCCATCGGGATGCAGGCCGCGTATTCAATCTGACCTCTGCCCAGGTGGGTCGCTGGATATCTGAACGTATAGATCTGTATCTTGAAAGAAATCGCAGGTGCACTGTAGTTTTTTTGAATCTATCATATCATATCTGAAAGACATTAGTTGGGTCAGTGGGTATTTCGTTTTGTCAAATCATTGTTGTGACAGACAATTTGGTGGTGCACACTTTGTCTGTATCCAAAATGTTTGTTATCACATCACATTCTTTAGGGCACACAGATAGGTGATTGGAGATCCCAGTCTGTCGCATCAAATCATGTCCAAGAAGGCAGGTGGGTAATTGGGCACTCCAATACTTCAAATCTGCCAGAGCCATGTTGCAATAGACGATGGAAAGCCATGCATCTGTATCAATATCACAGGGCCCTCAGATGCATCTCGCCCTTGGAAAGAGTCTGAGAGTGAGCAAATCTCGCAGTGTGCAGTCAAACCGAATGCTTGAACCTGAATGCACGCAAGATACTCAAACGATGCACTTCAGGTAGCTGAACTTTGTACAAACTGTGCGTTGTGTGTTGTGTGCTTTTGGGGGCATTGATTGGAAGCTGATGGTGACCTGGTCTCCTTGTCCTTTCCTTGTGATGTACTTTGAAGTTATTCATTTGCCGTCAATTGAAGCATTTCTTGAGCAAAAATTGTTGAAAACTGAACAAGTCCATGGAAATCACCAAAAATGGAAAAGTAGAAGTGTGGAAAAATGTGAAAAAATGAACAAACAAACAGACAAACAAACACAACGATCGGTCGATTGAAATGGCGTTTTCGAACTGCAGGAGGTGGCTGGAGTGCTGTTTGAAGACCTGGGCTTGGTGCCACCTCCCTCCGCGCAGCAGGGCAAGCGTGGTCTGTCCACAAAAGCAGAGGTACTCCAAGAGCTGGCACTTGAGCACCCGCTGCCGGGACTCATCCTGGAGCATCGCAAGCTCAAGAAGCTGATAACCGGTTTTGTGGACTCGCTGACAGGCTGCGTGTGCAGGGCCGGGGAAGGTGCATCAGGGACTGAGCCGCCAAGGTGGGCAGCGGCGATGGAAGGAATGAGGTGCTGGATGGATTTGATGTCAATTTTAACGTGTGCCTGAACAAGGACAACATTGAGTACATATGCCACCAGCTGGACCATTTGCTTTTCTATCCCATTAAGAGCCCTTTCTTTTCCTTATCTGCTTTGTTCTTCTCCCTTGTGCCTCTCTTTCTCCATTTCTCTTCCTACTCCCTTGGAATGGTTTTCTTCCTGTGTTTCTTCCTGACAAGGGTTGAATTCCTGGTTTGTCTGAGTTCCAATTCCCTCGTCTATATGATTCCTTCATTCAGTGTTTTCTCTTTCCCGCTAATCGCCAGTTTGCCACAGACTCCATGGGACCTTCCTCCAGACTTCCACTGCCACTGGCCGCCTGTCCATGGATGAGCCCAACCTGCAGACTGTGCCCCACCCGGTCGACTACGAAACCACAGCCTCTGAGACACCCCCAGATGTCCTGCCAACTGGCGATCAGCCCCGATCCAGCTACTGCTTCAATGTAAGGGCAGCCTTTCGTGCCCCAGAGGGGTGGCTGATGCTGTCTGCGGATTATTGCCAGCTTGAATTTCGCCTCATGGCGCACTTTTCTGGCGATGAGAGCCTGCAGCAGATGTTCAGGGACCCTGGTGGGGATCCATTCAGGCTGTTGGCGGCACAGTGGCTTGACACGCCCATGGACGAGGTGAGACTTGCCTGTGGATTTATGTTTGGCTTGACTCGTAAGGTGTGCAACTTTTTTCGCGGTAATGTATGCAACACTACCAGAGGAAGTCAAAGCCCATGATACATGTTCAGATTCTGTGATTTGGTTTCTTTGACCCCTAATGCATCAACAATAGATTGCATTTATAATGATGCACTGTGTGCTTGACATGTTATGATAGAACTGTGCACATGGTATTACGTAGTTGACACATGGGATTGAAGTGTGCTAAATGGTCCAGCTTCCCAGTGCTGCGGGTTTCTGTGGGCTGTCTTTTGGATTGTTCTCAGGGCTCGTGTACACTGTCCTGTACAATGCCCCACAGCATGTTTTCGTCTCTGTGAACGTGCAGACTATTCTGTGGACAGATCAAATCACTGGGCTCGACTAGGCCTGCTGCATGCATACTACGGGGGCATTGCAACTTGCAACTGAGGGTCAGTGTACTGGATGTGACCATTCTCGCAAACAGTCGCCTGTGTGAGACCAACAGCAGGTGGAAGTGCTCACTGATGGCACTGCCTGACTCAGCTGCTGCCACCACACAAAGGTGGCAGTGTGATGTACGCCCTCCCCCAAAGAAAGGCCGCTGGACGGAGTGCCAGCCCCTCCCCTCAACGTCAACTGCTTGCTGATGTGACACTGATGAGCACGATCATGGGCGCCTTGCTATCGAGCTTTGTAACACTGCCCTGCAGACAGTCCTGCAGACTGTTCTGTGGATTGTTCCCCCCCTACAGTGCCTCCCGGGCACTGTGTGTTAGCCCAAGCTGCAGAACAATTGTTTCCAACTTGATGTCAACAAAATATCTGCAATGTCTGCAAAGTATCTGCAGAATATCTGCAACATATCTGCAAACATCTGCAAAATATCCACAAAATCAATCCACATTCATCTTTCAGTACAGCTGCTGCAACACCCCCGCTCTTGCCCCCAGGTTACTGAGCAGCAGCGCACACACGCCAAGCGCCTGGCCTATGGCCTGCTCTACGGCATGGGCCCCCAGGCCCTGGCCGACGACCTGCAGATCCCCGTGCCCGCCGCTGCACAGATGGCCGACGCCTTCCGGGCATCGCTACCTGGCGTGGACGCCTGGCTGCGCCGTGTAGTCGAGGATTGCAGGCGCACGGGGTTTGTGCAAACGATTGGAGGCCGGCGGCGGTACCTCCCAGATGTTGCGGAGAGGAATGGTGGGAAGAGGGGGCGGGCGGAGCGGCAGGCGGTGAACACGCTGTGCCAGGGGTCAGCGGCGGACCTTGTGAAGGTGTGTCTGCCGCTTGGTTTGGCGTGCTTTTGTTGTGTGTTGGTGTGTTGACTTTTGATTGAGTTATTGTTGAATTGAGGTAAATTTATATTGAATTTTGTTGGAGTTTTGGTTGAATTTCGCGCATTGAATTTCGGTTGAGGTGATTGATGACGTTTGACAATGTTTCACGGTTCGCATTTTCGACCTGTTTTGGACGTATAGCTGACGTGATGTGAGCCTAGTGTGAAAATTTTTGAAGTGACTTCATTGCCGTTTTCCCACGGAATCCACTTTCGAGCGCACCACTCATTTGTCCAATCGTTTTCGCTGGTGAAGGTGGCCATGGCGAGGGTGCATCGGCGCATCAGGGTGGAGGCGGCGGGGACGTGTCATATGCTTTTACAGGTTGGCAGGCACAGCCAATGGGCGACAGCGTGGGTCTTGCTGATTCTGTGGCCGCCTTCCAAGCACCTGGCATGCGCTGGGCTTTAGTCGTGCGCCACGTGCATTGTTGGTTACTTGTTATCGCTCTTGTCATCGTTCTTTAGTCACTACTGTCATTTCCTTTGGCCATTCAGATCTTGTGCATCATTTTTATAGTTCTTTGTATTATTTTTTGTAACTTGTGTGTATTGCAAGCATTATAGGTACCTGAAAGTGTACTGCATGTGCACAGAAGCTTGCATGCTTGTGTTCAGTGTCATCCACGAGCGCCCATCTTGGCAGAGCAGAAGCAAGGCTCATTGCTGGTCAACACTGTGCAATGCCATTTTGCTTCCATGGAAACTTGCAATACCACTGTACTTACATTTTTTAATGCCATGCAATGCCATTTTACTTTCATTTTTAGTACCAATTTCACACACCGCGTTTGTGTCCAGCCTTTGAGTGCTTAACTACTGTTCATCATTCGTGGACTGTTTTAATCTTGTTGACTACCCGTGGGCTGTTTGAATCTCGTCTAGTGTTCGACACTTGTTGAGTGTCTTGCGTTGTTGGTTGTCTCTGTGTCGGGAATCTCCATGCTGGCCATGGTCCCCATTGCATTGCCGCAAGGTGGAACGGGGGCCCGGCATTGTCTTGCGTTGATTTTCTTAGGGGACCGCTCATGTGCTGTTCCTTGCCCCGCTGGTCGTAGCAAGGAATTACACACTCTTGTCGGGTGCTCGGCTTCCGCTCGTTGTTTGACCGTCTCGCTGCCTGTCGCGTTGACTGTTTGACCAGGTCCACGACGAGCTTCTTTTTGAGGTGCGGGAAGGGGCCCTGTCCGCGGTGGTTCTGCTGATTCGGGCGGGCATGGAGCGGGACAACGGCCTGAGCGTGCCGACGCCCGTCAGGTTGAGTGCGGGTCCCAGCTGGGGGCAGCTGCGGCGGCTGTAGATAATGTACCGGGCGAATTTCTTCACAAAGTACTGAAATATTTGCGCGTTTGACCGCAGATGGTGTTTCTTGGGCATTTGGGCTTGGCGCTTGGCATGGCGGTTGTTCTCTGCGCGGCGGGGCCTTGGAGAAGTCTTGGCGGACTTTAGCAGACTTTGGGCGCTTTCTGTGTTTGGTGTCCCGGGAGTTGTAGACCTGTAGACACGGCAATTGGACATATTTCATGGTTGGCATGCCACGGGGTTGACTACGATATACTATACTAGGTATGATCCGCACCGTATTGTTGCACTTCGCGTGTTTAGGACCTAATTATTAGGATTGGTGGACAGGAGGCGGTTCGGGAGCGGCCGCTTGGGGAAACGCACTCGGAGGTTTCTGGGGCACTTACTATGATTCGAATATGCTACAAAGACAGCCCGGCAACCAGACCAACCTCGCAAACAGACGTTTCTCTTGGTGTTGTAATAATTCATGGAGAGGATTCAGCGAACAACTCCTATGTCGCCAATGTCCCTCTTCCGTTTTCCCGGTGGAGGGACGTGGCAACGCCGGTGTGGGGTTTTGGAAAGGTGATCGAATGCCTCTGGCAAAATGGGTCCATACCCCTGCTTTTGCTCGTGCACGATGCCAGATGCAATCCAGCTGCATGCCTGCAGGCACAGCGCGCGGCGTTGCAAAGGATCTCGATCCAATTTACCAATCAGATTCGAGGTAAAAAAACTTGTGGAAAGGCGCCTTGTTGGCAAAATGCTGGTACTTCTGCCATACACATTCATGCGGTTGCACAATACTGTGCGTCGGCTTGGTTCAATTCCCTCGTTGGCACTCTAAAATGGCAACTTTGTACACAGGCATGCGTGAAGGAAACGAAAGTTGGATCGTTCGAAAGTGCCACTTCGCGACTGGCCCTGTGACATTGAGCGCGCCACACGTCGGGCAACTTGGACACCAAAGCGACACTATCAAAGCAATCAAGAGTGAAGAAGCTTTCCTCAACTAAAGGACTGGGTCTCCTGCGCCGCGGTGATGTGGTGGCTGTCGAGACATACCTAGTTGCAGACTGTCACTGAAGCAAAGGCAGTTGTGAGGGATGTTGCAGTGGACACGGCCTGGGCATGCGGCCAGCGCTCTGTACGGTGGTGGAAGGACGCAGAAGAAAAATTACTCTAACGGACCAATACGGACGCACTTGATGGCAATTTTCCCCCTGAGTCTTTCCATCACAGAAAGGACGCTGGCCACAGATTCTGCCCTTGTCCGCCTGCAAAACCCCTCAAGGCAGCAATTTCCTTCAGCGTTTGTGTGCAACTCTCTCAGAATGGAGATCTGAGTACGATCTCTCGTGATGGTGTTTGCACCATGAATCCGTACGGCGAAATGGGTGGATTATGGAGGCCCTTGCAGGCCACATGCAGATGTTGGAATTGGCTGCATGCTGCTGGACTGGAATCTTCGACCTGACCTAGCCGAGTACTGGGCAATTTGTAGAAGGAATATTGGCAGGACATGTCACATCCAGAACGTTCTAAAGGTTCGTACCACTCAGCGGGTATCTGCGCTGTCCTTTTTTTCTGAGTGCATGTGTTGTGCATTGCTGCTTTAGTGATCTACCGAATGTATTGCTGTGCATTGCTGCTTTAGTGATCTATGAATGCATTAGTGATCTACCGAAGTGCAACCCTAGCGTGAATGTAATTTGTAATGGGGAGTGGTTTAACCACCTCCACCAGTAGAAAACAGCCTGTTTGCGATGCCAACTGCGATGCCATTTCGTCACAAATTGATGCCATCGCAGCCCCTTTTATGGCATCGCACTCACTGTGACGGTATCAATTTGTGTCGAAATGGCATCGCAGCTGGCATCGAAAACAGGCTGTTTTCTACCAGTGCTCATAGCTGACTTCACATTTCGAACGAAAGAGAGGCGCCTCACCTGTGCGCTTTCGACTCTGTGGGCAGTGTGTCTTAGAGGACGAAGAATTCCTGATTTCCAATGCCTAAACTCCGCGTGCATATAAGACGCGCTCAACGCGCCCCTCGTCGGGGGGTTGGAAGCAATCATCCGCAATATTGGCTCATGAACGCGTTCACACAACGCCAGAAAACAATGCCCCGTGTCCATGCACTAACCCACAACTTCTTGCGTCTCACTACTCTATTTCGATGCGCCAGATGTTTCGCAGCAAAATGCCTTGGTGCTCCAACATCGTGGCCGGCCATTTGCATATTCCGTTGACTGCAAGATGACCAGACCTCAAACGGTCCCGACCATTTACTTGGAGGCAAGGATTTCATTTGCAAGCTCCGATGTTTGCAAAGTGTGCAATCCTCAAAGGCTTGGTTCAGAGCTTGCTTTCAGAAACGATGTTCCACCAAACGGGAGATTTCAAGAAGTACTTCTGAAATACGTGGAGTAAATTCGAAGGCAAGCTCAAGAGTGACGTGCTTCGAGTGATATGAACATGCAAAGCATCGCCTTTCCAAATTTGTCCACATTGCAGAGCTCCACTCCATGTCAGATTGCCTCGCATTGCGCTGAACTGCATGAGACCAGTGTCCTAAAAAGTGTCGACTTTCCCGCAGGTCGAAAATCTACTGTCCTGAACGGTTATCCCGCTCTTGAAATACATTGTTGAGTTGCCGAAAACCGTTCTTAGTATTGCGCAACCATAGCGTGTGGTGCACTCTGTGCGCCATGCATGAACGGGACCAAGTTGCTGAAAAGATGTCGCCTACAGACAACCTGCTTAGACGACACATTGGTCATGTCGTGTGTCTCTACTGAACTCAACTCCTCAGACAGCGTTAGGATCCTGGCGCCCAACACACAGCCTCCTCGTGCTCAGCAGAAGACCAAGTAGGGAGAAACCAACCTGCCAGTATGCTCAAAACTGACGTCAGCACCCCTTTTCTCATATCGCGCCACCTGAAGCGGTGATTTGAGGACTGCGTCATCAGAAGGGAAGATTTCATGACGACCGAGCTAAGGGAATTGCCCAGGGGTGAGGGCATAGTTGCTGCTGTATTGGGAGAGCCCAAGGGTAGTGACAAGCTGCTAGACGCTGGCGGTGGGTTTGATCGGTCGGGATTGGAATTCTATGACGGCGGCAACGATTGAGAACAGTTTGGACGAATAGCTGTGTACGATGAGCTTGTAACGATGTATATAAGCGAGGGCGCAAAGACAATCTGCGTCTCTTGCTTTGCTCCAACATTTGTCGCAACATCTCATTGACTTAGTGAATCTCTTCGTGTGAGGACTTGGGCCCTTGAAGTAGACTCCATTTGACCGGAACACCACCGCACCGATGTACAGCAGCCCCCTCCTCCAGCCTGAAAATGCCTGCGAGCCCCCCGTGCCCTGCCAGCCCAAGAACGAAGGCAGTACGGGCTGCCTGGAGCAGCCGTGGATCATGCCCACCTCCAGCACACTTCTTCGCCGACTTGCAAGGCGAGGCCCAGGATCTCCATTGGCATCGGCAGCCGCCCATTCAAATGCGTTCCACACAACTACGCGCCAATGGCTTTGGCTTGCCATGGCGCAACCCAGCATTCCCTTCCCGAGGCGGTCGCCTAGCGGGGACAATCCTCGCCGGTTCACCATCTGGCCCGGCCCACCCACTCCCCGTTTATCGCGCCCACCAACTTGTGAATTGAACAACGCCAAATGTGCAGCTGCACGCGTCGCTGCAATCCGCTTTGCCCTCAAGCCATTCCCAGCCCAAACGCACGCAAGGCCGCTTCACACACCTCCTATCCCCCCATGTCGGGTGCGATGGGGCGGGCGTCCCAGAGGCCAGTCTTCCTGGAAACGAGGCGACAAAAATGCAAAAGCCAATGCACAACAGCCGGAACCGAAAATTTGATATCCAACAGCTTAATTCGTGTCTCACTCAGCAGTTCTTGCAACTGTGTCTTGAAGCGAACCCTCCAGCCCTTGGGCAACTGCCAAGAGCGCTGCTGGCACGCTGATGCATAGGCCCTGCGTCAGCGCTGAACACGATTGATGCGAGGTCACACTACCATGGAGGCCCATCAACGTTGCTGTAACTCCACCCCAATTTCCGTATCAATGTACCACTGCGAACCAAGGGCACTACACAACTGGCTTTACGAATTGTTGCACTGCTTGGAGGCATACGCCCAGCTGCGCCATGAGACCTCAGAGCTTGGACTTTCTCAGCACATACAGCATCTCCGTTTGTTCACGGGGTGGCTTCAGATAGTGAGCGAAGGTGACCGCGTGACGTCCCTCGCGTAAAGCACGCTGTGGCATTACCGCACCCCGGGGTCGCCACATGTGGCGCCAACGTGTACACGTTGCGTGGCGCACTCGCGTCGCGAGGCACCTTCATTGAAAGGGCCCAGCCGCGCTGGGCCTGCCGACGCCGCCGGCGATCCCCGGGGAAGCTGACAAAGTGTAACTCGATGTGACTTCGCCCATCAAATCATTACCCCTGTCGCTGCACCTGACGCTGTCGCGCTCCCCCGCGAGCCGGCGGGCACCTTCCCTCACAACTCAGCCTCCAACGCCATACCCTGGCTTCCTATAAGTTGGCCCATTGGGCTGCGTTGGCCCAGAGCAGCGCCTGGCCTTCCCCGTCGCCACGCCCCGACCGTCCCAACCGAAGCCCCGAGGGAGTCCAGGAGAGCCCCAGCCGAGTCCCAGAGAGCCCCGGGCGGTCGCGCCAAGTGAAAGCGGCGGCATGAAGGCGTCCGGCAAGCACCTCGCCGCGCTCCTGGCGCTGGCCATCGTCCTCAGCGCCCTGCCAGGTGCAACCGCTTCTCCACTTTCTGATTCCGCTCTCGTTCCGATTCCAGCGCCCCGCAATGCGCCTGGCGTTCCGCGCTGTGTCCCATCGACCATGGCCAAGCGTGGAGCAGTCCGCCTTTTCGCCAGGGTTTGCGAATGACGTGGGCTTGCCCGGCCGTCCCGTCCCGGGGCCTGGTCTTAGCCATGGGACTCGCACGCGCGCCCGTTTGAGATTCGAGTTTGC